TAATTGTATTCATAAGTTGGAGTTGAGACATAATGAATGGATCAGGGCTTACTCTCTTTTGCTTATAATGCTTGCAATTTGAACAACAACGCTGAGGATCTTGTAAGTAGCCGTGGGGAAATAATCCATGGCATCCTTCATGGACGGTGCCTCTTTTGGAATCTTGGAAAGAGTTGGAACCAAGAAGGCGAAATTGATGTTCACCACATCCACCATGGCCTTCAAAAGTTGTTTAAGCACATTGATATCAAGTTTGACCGAGTGACCTTTGAGGAGATCCACGGACTTAGCAATTGGGTCCGTGGTGCGGTGATTCACAAGCATCAACAACTCCCCGATGCTCAAGGCGAAAGCTGCTACGGCTAACACCACTTTGGCGTTCCATGAATAATTTCTAAGCCTTTTGAGCAGCACCATTGTCGTTGCTTCCACATCTGAAAGATTGCATGACATCTGCAAGTACATGTAAAATTTAAAATCCTTAAGAGTAAGACACTGGTAAACAAAATCATCTATAATTATATGTTAAGCAACAACCTCACAGGATATGCTGCGTATATCATCCAATGCTTGATGCATGCCATCAAAATTCTCCAGGCTGCCGATCATATCATTTAAACCTTCATACTCACCCTGCAACAAATAAAATGCATACGAATCAATCATTCGAAGAGGAATAGCACTGTTTAAAACTTTTCTTTTTATGATCAAGGAGCAAAGTGAAAGGCAAAGTAGCTAGGGGAGTGGTGTGCAAGTACCTTGCAAGCGGAGGCGGCGTTTTGCAAAATGCTCTCAATGACCTTGACTAGTGGTCCGAGATCAACTTCACGAGTTTGATCAAAGGCATGGGTTATCAGAATCTTCTGTGACAGCTCCTGAGATATCATGAAGGACTGACAGTAGGATGTAGTAGCAGCCATTTTAGGAAGGTGGTAATTAAGGATGATCGAGATTGAAGGGACGGAGTTGGTGTTTTTAGGTTTGGAGTGAGGACTCCGAGGATGCAGCAAACACACTTATATATAACCTAACAGTAGGTATGGTACTTACCTAACACTTATATATACCATAGTAAGGAAGGTGCACTGCAGATTTAAGTGACGTCAGATAAGTGGCATCATCAGGTCAAGACGATTGGTCCTTCACTCATTTGGGTCATAATATCAAACACAACTCCATTACAAACAAAAAAAAATGGCGTTTAGATATTAGATGAGGAGAGATTAGGAGCGTCGAATAGGCCATGATCATTGCAAAGTTGATTTTTGTATAAGATTGGATGACTAATTATATAGATAGGCCGAATTTTTTTTATAGTTTTAAGTAACCACTTATTGTAATTGATTACTTCTCAATGAAATTTATAACTTTGTATGTTTAAGTTAGTTCATCATTGGAAGAATCTATGAAGACATTTATAATTTTTTTTTGTTATTCACTTTTTTATTTCACTTTAGATTATCTTAAATTAAAATGAAAAAAAGAGTAAATCAATGGAATTTAGGGTTTATTAGCTAAACTGAGAAAAGTGGGATGGGGGATCTCATATTATATGAGTGGGATTAGACAAATATACAATTTATAGGTTGTTTTTTTATTTTTTTTAAGCAGATTCATCATACTGTTTTGGGAAATGAAAATTTGTAATGTTGATATAAATTTTAGTCTTAAATAAAATATTAAACTCCATTCACTTTCTTTCAATCAATATATATACATATATATGTATATATTCTCAATCATCAAAGAATTTATTAACAATAATTGACGAGAAAGGATGAGAAAAGTACGTACCATTGCCCAGACCAGGGTAGTCCAGGAATGATATATTAAACCCAAAGTATAACACCATATGAACTCCATTAGGTAATACCACATAAAAAGTTTCTGCAACAACAACTAATGCAGGGGTTGTGCACCAAAAATGTATGTCCAGTGGTCACACAGAATCCGAAGCTCACCCACAGCAGAGATCTAGCAATAATGTAAAGAATCTCCCCGTGACAAAGATCACCCTACCACCAGACAGCATTTCTTCCCTCTCCACACCCAACTTTGCTAAAGCATCTGCCAAGGAATTAGCATCTCGTGAAGTATGTGTGAACTCATAATCACCAATCAATCTTAGACTACACTATTACAATCCTCAATCACCCATATCTCCCTTTGACCAGGACAAATCTTTAATTTCCAGGTAATTGACAGGTCACTGCAAAAAGCTCCCTTATCCCACATTGTAGTTAATTAGACCTCCCGATTTACCCCTTGCCGGGCTAAAAACCCATTCAAAATTCGCAGCAAGCCATGCTCTTCTAATCTCATTATCACTGCACTTCTCCATTTTCGTCTCCTTCACCGACATCTTAATTTACAATATTCAAATATACTTTTCAAAAAGTATATTTGAATATTGTAAATTAAGATGTCGGTGCAGGAGACGAAAAACAATTCTCCCATGGGGTCTTGGCTGTTAACGTTATGTTCTTAATGACTCTGTTATGGCTATAGCTGCCTCTAATCGGCTATGGAAGTTATTGTAGTATTTTCACATAGTTACTAATTTTTTACTTAACCTTTGAATATTTAATTCAATGATCGATATATGTTTTCTTTTTTTATTAGTTGGAATCAAATCTCCCATCTTCAATATCAAAAATCCCTTATTCAAATTAACTTAATGACCTAATGAAATTTGATATAAAAAATCACAACAAACTCTTAGTGCTTGGAAACAATATTGAAGACATGACTCAAAATCAAAAGACTTATACAAGCCAGCTGATACATGGGCCTTCAATTATGAAAATACGAGCAAAGTTAAGGTGGCGTTTGATACATTATAATGCAATGTGATTGCCAAGCAATGTGATTACAGGGAAAATAACATTACAGTGTTTTGGTATGTAAGTAAAATAATTGATTAAAATGCAGGGAAGAATAACATTTGCAGTGTTTGATTTACAAGTATTTTAGTGGGAATGTAATGCTAATTGTTAAAATTACCCCTAATTATTAAAATATAAGTTTAATATATTTATATTTTTTATTATTAATTTTTATATAATATCATTTCTTAAATATTTTTAATATCACATATTTTATTTTTATTTATTATTATAATATTTTATATTTTATTTTTAATATATTTATATTTTTATTATTAATTTTTATATAATATCATTTCTTAAATATATTTTTAATATCATATATTTTATTTTTATTTATTATTATAATATTTTATATTTTATTTTTAATATATTTATATTTATATTATTAATTTTTATATAATATCATTTTTTAAATATATTTTTAATGTTATATATTTTATTTTTATTTATTATTATAATATTTTACAGGGAATGTGACTTACATCCTTGATACCAAACGTCACCTAAGAGTTGTCTGGCACAAGCTGATTTTGGTTTTAAGAGAATATCCCTTGGCACTCAATGATGCCAGGATAGCAATTCTTATGACTGGCAATTCCTACCCTACAAAGATTGTGCTTTTGGGTATTGAATGTCCCAAATAATACTTTTTGTCTTTCTTTTTTTGCAATGGACACATAAGACTAACTAAAGATAACTTATTTCTCTCTCATCCTTATTTGAGGGAGCTTTGGGTGAAGATTCTCCGACTCTCCTAGCTGTAAAAAGGGTATTTGTAGGAGCCTTAAGAGGTTGAGCTTTTGGAGAAGCTAATTATTCCCAAGCTTTCTTGGTCTTGGTTCATCCACAGTATTTGGAGGGAAAGAATACAGTAGTAATTACGTATAGCGCTCGTCCCACATTTTTATTGTTCTTTAATGGAATTGGTTAAGGCTAATTGTCACAATTCACTCTTTTCCCATCCCACCACTTTAGAGCCCGTTTGCCTCAAGCTGCCTAATTATCACAATTCACCCTTTTTACTAATCAAATATTTCAAACTTTAATCAATGAAAATATTTAAAATAATAAAAAGGTTAAAGTTTATAACATATATATGCATTTAAAAAACTACTTCATTCAAAGAAGAAAATGACAAGGTTTATATAACCTCCTCAAAATTACCAAGTTTTGAGGAGGGTGAGAGAAAAAAAAGAATGAAAATGTCACATTGGTTGTCATATAGTAGGAGCAATGCTCATTTGCTCTTTGATTATACAGCCTTCAAGAAAACTTCCAAAATTTTGCAGTGATCAACCGAGTATTCATTGTGTTACGTAATTAATTATTAAGCAATGTGTCTGCTCTTCAATTTTATTTTTTTTTTGAAAATTAGAGATGATTACATTAATAACTTGCTGTACAAAAGAAGGCATAGAAGGCTAAAGCTGCTGATAAGCAGTGTCGAAACAGACTATACAAGTTCAACACACCCTCAAGTTGTAATGGGATCAAAAGAACAACCATCAAGAACATCATCACAGCACAACCTAAGGAATCACCGTCAAGTTATACTATACAAAGCATATGTCAAAGGGATATGTGAGGTAGATAATTATCGGATAAAAGCATATGCCAAAATTTGAATTTAATCCCTCTCTATTATTTTAATTTAATAATTTTAATCTTTTTACTTCAATTTTAATGAATTTATTACTTATGTTTTTATTAAAAGTCAATTTAGAAGGAAGTCGATGACAATGATGAAAGTATTAAAATTTTGTCATCAATTAGGATGGCATGGCATTTGGTGATAAATTGACATGATGAGATAGATTAATTTTTTGATCATGTGGTACATATTAATATAAAAATAGTATTTTATTTAATTAAAAGCAATAATTTTTATATTCTGAAAAACATAATTTTTTAATTTTTATTAAAAATAAGGATTTTGTGTGCTATATGTGTACCATGTGCTAAAAAATAATTCAAGTTGGCATATTATGTTATCAATAAAAAGGTCAAGTGGTTGAAATTAATGGTAAAATTTTATCACTATCAATCATCTGTAAATTGAAAGTGTAGAAATTAATTGATTAAAAATTGAAATAGAAGACTAAAACAATGGAATTAAAATAGTAGATGAACCATTCATTACACTAATCTTAACTCTTCACTAGCCAAAGCCAATGAATAGGAGTCCCAAAAATTATTATTCATAATATAGTAATAAGGAAGCAACATATAGTATAACCTTGTGCTTCCAAAAGTGATCTTTATTTGTCATAGTAGCATCTTATCGATCTCCTTCTCAAACATATAGTTTGGTAATTACTCAGCACAGCAGCGATACGTGTAATACATCTCCATTTCTTTGGAACATGTCGGGCAACTTACTATCCCTGGAAACTCCCCGAGCACGGGGAGGTGAACATTGATGCAGCCATGGGTATCCTGTATTTTATACATGTAATAATTTCTGAGTGCCTCAAGAAAAAGAGGCCCTGTTGAGCCATTTTTCCAATCTTTATAGTTGGACATGATGTTTAGAGCCATTTCTCCGTTGGTGGTGACCATCTCAGCTGATCCGACAGAGAACATTGCCCACGGTTTGCCATTGCCAGTGTAGCCAAGTAGTTTCAAGGCTTCGCGCATCACGCGATCAGTTTGACTGGTCTTGTCCTGTTGGATTTTGGCATGCAATATACTCTCCAGTCGGGTCCAAAACTGCCACTGAAATTCAGAGTCGATCACGTGAATATCAGGACTAAGCAGGTGGCTTGGTAGCCCTTTGCCTTTGTCCTTTCCCACGTAAACCAGTTTAAAGGAAACACCGGCAGTAGCATTTTTCACTTTCTCCGTGAACGCTTGAATCCATGATATATTATCACCCCCAAACAAGCATACAAATGTCACGCTTCGCATCTGACAAATCGAGGACCCAACAGTGATCAAGTATCAGAAACTGAACCAAGGCTTAAAAATACAAAACCAAGCAGAAAAAAAAAAAAGAAAATGTACCCGTGGCGGTATGGCGAGATCGATCTGCTCATCAAGCAGGAGTTCAAGTTTCCAACCATTTTTCACATCAATCTCATTCCAGAGCTGACGCTCTTTTTCAGCAGTGAATGGGAAGCCCAAATTGCCCCATGTCCACAACATAGGGAGTGCATTCCGGCACGTCACTTCCCCTTCTTCATTCAAAGACACAGCAATGGGGTTCTTTATAAAATGCCATTCCTTCTTGATGTATTCAATGAAGGCCGGTCCAATGTTGGAGGGTTCGACCACACCCCATTTCATCAACTGTTTCAGCTCTGAAAACTTTGTCTTTTCATAAGGGGCAGTCAAGTCCGCAATTGGGAGCCACAGGATTTCATACCACTGGTTGTTCTTTTGGTACAGCCGATCAAGAACCTTAATCTCTTCAAAGGAGATGTCCAGATCCGATATGAGAAACAACACATGCTTTTTCCTCAGTTTTTCAGGAACCTGTTTGCACCAGAAGAATATAGGGCTTAGCAAAAATGCAAGGGACATGAAAACGGAGCATACACCATAGAGGAAGTGTAAATGAAGCAACCTGAATCTTCATATGATTCTTAATTTTCCCAAAAAGTTCCCAAAAGCCAATTTTAGGAATGAGTTCCGAAACGTCTTCATGCCGCTGGTACTCTATTTCTTCATGCTTGTAGTACTTTTCGCCTTGTTCTGCATCGTATTGTCATCAGTTGTTCCATTGCCAAGTAACAAAACTTTTTAGCGGGAATTGAGGGGATGGGGGTGATGTGTTGTGGACTTACTATGTGTTTCCTTGTACACGAATGTCATACTGAGTTTAATGTCTGGATGACTTATGGTTATAAATTTATTCATGTAATCCTTATCTCAATTAATGTATAAAAATTTTACTTGAAAAGCAAAAAAATTGGGATAAATTATTTATAAGTATTTGTCAATATCAAAATACTAAAACAAATAGAAATATAGAGATAGGTAATGAATATATTAACGGATTTTTAAATGAAAATCATTTTATGAAACATGAATTTTTTCTTTTGGGTTTTTGGAAGCTAATCAAAATGAACAAAAATAATTTTGGTTATAACTTAAAATACAGAAACAAATTCATCATTGCAATTTAAAGCTAACGATCTCAAAACTATTCCCTAAGCATTTGCACTCATCAATGTCTCAAATTCATAAATTAATCAAAGCGATTCATAATTTTTCGTATCACTTGAGCATTGTTATTTGGTTATCACATGTTTAAATTTATTAGATAACTGTGGTAACTCAGTTAAACTCATGCAATTTATACTCTGCACCTTCAAGCAATCAACTACTCCTTATGGCCTTTTTGATTTTGCTGGTGAGAAAGGAAGGTGGATAACCAGTTAGTTTGATCCCAAACGCAACCGAGATAGTTTAGTCCATGTTCATATATGCAGATAAATGCAGTAATTAAGGGAGTGCTTTACTCTTCTATGAGTTGCTCTGCTCCACTATTATTGTATGATAATTTTAAGTAATAAAATCAATACTTATACTTTTCAAAAAAATTAATAGTAATATTATGATTAAATCAAATTAATGAGCATATAATGGTACTACAATAGCACCAAATTCTCTCACTCATAATTAGTAATTCATAAAATATTGAATGTTATAAAATGGTAACAGGCTTATAGCATTATATTTGTCGGTCAGAGCTTTAGAGTTTAAGATACTTAATTTAAAATTTTTTAACATATAAAAAACAAATTATTTATAAAACATGATCAGTAAATAAAATAGTGTTAAAATATTATAAAAACGCCAAAGCACTTTGCATTGCAAAAAGTAATATAATTAAACCTACCAAAAGAGAAAGCTAGCTAGCAAATGGTCCACAAAGCCTCCCAATAGCATAAAGGAAAAGAAAAATGAAAAAGGAAGTGCAATGAAAGAATAAATAAATAGCACCATTATCAGTATAGTGCATCACGAGTGCGTGAAGAGTATCAAAGAATTGAGTTTTAGTATATAATATATACAAATTTCAAGCCATCTGTCCTTTTTGTTTTGACTCTTAATCAAGAGAACAAAAAGAAAATGTTCAATTGAATACTTGATGGTTTACCCAAAATGAATAAATGTTATGTATCCAAAGTTAAAAGACTTACCGGCGTCAATTTTGCAACGTTCTAATTTCTTTTGAAGGACATAATTTACACAGCTAACTTCATATGCCAAGCTTTTTATTGTTGAGTCAATAATTTGCCTGAAATCAGAGTCAAAAAAGAAAGAAAGAAAGAAATTGGCAATTAGTTTAGCTGTATTCATAATTAAGTTGGAGTTGGGTACGATGCATGGATGGATCGGGGCTTACTCTCTTTTGCTTAAAATGCTTGCAATTTGAACAATAACGCTAAGGATCTTGTAAGTGGCTGTGGGGAAATATCCCATGGCATCCTTCATGGATGGTGCCTCTTTCGGAATCTTGGAAAGAGTTGGGACCAAGAAGGCGAAATTGACGTTCACCACATCCATCATGGCCTTCAAAAGTTGTTTAAGCACATTGATATCAAGTTTGAGAGAGTGACCTTTGAGGAGATCTACCGACTTAGCAATTGGGTCCGTGGTTCGGTGATTCACAAGCATCAACAACTCCCCGATGCTCAAGGCGAAAGCTGCTACGGCTAGCACCACTTTGGCGTTCCATGAATAATTTCTGAGCGTTTTGAGCAGCACCATTGTCGTTGCTTCCACATCTGAGAGATTGCATGACATCTACGAGTACATGTGAAATTTAGAATCCTTAAGAGTAAGACACTCGTAAACAAAATCATCTACAATTATATATATGTCAGGCAACAACCTCACAGGAGATGCTGCGTATATCATCCAATACTTGACGCATGCCATCAAAGTTCTCCAGGCTGCCGATCATATCGTTTAAACCTTCATGTGCACCCTACAGCAAGTAAAATTCATACGTATCAATCATTTGAATAGGAATAACACTGTTTTAAAAGCTTTTTTCTACGATCAAGGAGCAAAGTAAAAGGCAAAGTAGCTAGCTAGGGAAGTGTGTAAATACCTTGGAAGCAGACGCAGCAGCAGCGTTTTGCAAAATGCTCTCGATGACCTTGACTAGAGGTCCGAGATCAACTTCGCGAGTTTGATCAAAGGCATGGGTTATGAGAATGCTGTGTAAGAAGGACTGACTGTCGGATGTAGTCGTAGCCATTTTACGATGATCGAGATTGAAGAGACGGAGTTGGTGCTTTCAGGTTTGGAGTCAGGACTCCAATCGATGATGCAGCAAACGCACTTATATAAAAGAAAGCATTAGGCATGGCAGACAAGATGCCATAGTAAGGTTGGTGCAGTGCAAATTTTAATGATGTCAGATAAGTGACATCATCATCAGTTCAAGACGATTTTAAACAAAAACTTACTAACTTCAATCTTCTTTACCAAAAAAGAGTTCCTTCACTCATTTGGGTCATAATATCAAACACAACTCCAATCCTATGAAATATGGCGTTTAGATATTTGATGAGGAAAGATTAGGAGAGCCTCAAATATATCATTGCAAGGTTAATTTAAATCTGTTTTTACTTTTTCATTTCACCTCAAATTATCTTATACTAAAAATACTTATTAATAAATTAAAACGAGTAAACCAAAAAGTAAAACAATACATTCTTTTATCAATGAAAGGAGAGGTGGGGGATCTCATGTTGTACAAGTGTGATTAGACAAATGCAAATCTATAAGTTGTTTTTAAGATTTTTCTCTTCAATGGATTCATATTATTTTAAGAAGTGAAAATTGTAATGTCGATGCGAATCTTGATCTTGAATATAATATTAATATTAGACTTGATTCATTGCCTAGACCAGGATAGTCCGGCAGTGATATACTACACCCAAAGCATAACACCATATAAACCCCATTAGGTAATACAAGGTAAGAAAGGTTCTGCAACAACAACTAATGCAAGAAAAGTGCAAGGGCTGTGCACCAAAAATGTATGTCCAGTGGTCACACAGAATCCGAAGCTCACCCACAGCGGACATTTAACAATAATGTAAAGCATCTTCCCGTGATCTATATCACGCTACCACCAAACAAAGAGCATTTCCTTCCTCGCCACACCCTGCTTTGCTAAAGCATCCGCCAAGGAATTAACATCTCGTGAAATATGTGTGAACTCATGATCACCGATCAATCTTAGACTACACAACTAAAATCTTCAACAATCCATCTCCCTTTGACTAGGACAAATCTTTTCCAGGTAATGACAAGTGACAAGTCACTGAACAAAGCTCCCTTATCCCACATGGTAGTTGGAACTCCCCGACGTACCCCTTGCCGGGCTAAATACCCATTCTGCATTCGCAGCAGGCCATGCTCTTCCAATGTCATTATCGCTGCAATGCTGCTGCATGTCTCCAACTTATATATATATATATATATATAAGGTAATAAAATGTGACATTTCGAATTATCTATGATTATAATATTAAAATTGTCTTACATTTCAAATATTCAATCACACATGGCCACGGAAGGTGATGGCCGCAAGCTCTTAATTTTAAATTTTTTTATCATTATATATATATAAATTTTGATATATATAATTTCATCAACTCTAATCAAATCAAATAGTTTATTTGAAACAATGATAAACTACTTAACTTATTATTTAAAACCATTAACTAGCTTGAGAATTCTAGAATTTTTTTCATCCTGGATCCACCACTGTATTCTACAAAATATAATCAATACTAAAGAAACCTTATAATATATCGTTAAATAATTGAAAACAATGGATATAAATAAAAATAATATTTACTTCTAATTACATAAAAGCAATAAATCTAAAATTATGTAACACTTGTTTTTTCTCCTTTTTGACTAAAGTTAAAAATTTGTACGAAAAGGCAAGATCATATATATATATATACGACGTGACCAAAGTTAAAAGCTTGCTCTTGGATTTATTTTATTAAGGCAGGATCAGGCACAGCTAGCATTGATCAAACTTCTAACTTGAGATTTAGTTTTGGGATTGTGCTTTTGTTTATTTTATCATTTTTAATTGCTTTTCAACTTGGCACCATATTCTTGCTTGACTCGTCGGACCCAATTAGGGCCATCTTTTATGTGCTATCCTTGTACCATGTTTTTATTTTATTTTATTTTTGATAGATCACTTCTTATCATGCCTGCACGTTTGCATTATGGCTTCTCTACCATAAATAAATAAATAAATAAATATATTAACGTCACATACTTAACTATTTACATATCATAAAGCGACTTCAGTATTTAATTTAACACATTTTAACAATTTATGACAAAACAATTTACATAAAAAAATAAACAAATAACTGAAAAAGAATATCTTAAAATATATTTTTTTAAAATATCGGGTTTGAGTATTGAAAAAGAAAAGGTGAGATTATATATACAGAAAACAGGAAAATTTTTTTTCTAGTATCAAAAAAAGAGAAGGTGAGATTACATATATATATATATATATATATATATATGTATATGTATATGCATAGAATATGAAAAACTCTTTGTAAAACTCACGTGGATGACCAGAGGTAATAGCCGAAGAAGAGCCAATATTAGCACGAGCTAGGTTCATGCATGTCTGATGCATGCATGTTTATGTTAGCTAGAAATGGATGTTATGGGAGAAACTATACACATAACACATATACAAGACAACGTGGAACTCGTTGATAATCATTTGCGACAAATTATTCTGGTCATGGGCTTGCCCTAAGCAACCCTCCTTTTTCTTTTTCAGAATTTGTCTTACAAACAAATCGACTTTTGTTCTCACCTATTCTTACTTCAATATGTATCACTCTTGTACTTAAAAAAAAAAAAAGAAATTCAATTCACGCATTCCTTCAGGAAAAAGATTGTTTTCATGTTTTCCCTTTCTCTAATAGCCTCCAATCATCGTCAAAGATTGTGGAACGCTTGTTAATTTCCTGAAATGATCAAGATATTTTTTTGTTATTACTTTTTTTTTTGTGGTCTTGATTGTTATATTATGTTCCAAATGATTCTCAAACTCACAATAAAGTTATTGTAAACATTTAATTCAATAATCGGTACATGTTAATTTCATTTTGTTTAAATAATTGGAATCGAAAATTTTCATTATTAATATAAAAAATTCTATATACACTCACGTTAATTTAATGACCTAATGGAATTTGATGTAGAAAATCACAAAAACCTATTTTTGTGCTTGGAAACATTATTGAAGACTCGCCTCCAAAATGAAAAGACTTGTATAAGCTACAGCCGATCACAAAGGACTTCAATTATGAAAACACAAGCAAAGTTAGAGTTGCGTGGCACAAGCTGATTTGGTTTTAAGAGCATATCCCTTGGCACTCGATGATTGCTAGGACAGCAATTCTTATGACTGGCTTCCTACCCTACAAAGATTGTGCTTTTGGGTGTTTGAGTGTCTCAAATAATTCCTATTGCCTTTTTGTAATGAACACATAAGAATAGAGATAACTTATTTTTCTCCAATGCTTATATTTTAAGGAGCTTTGGGTGAGGATTCTACTGTTATCCTAGCTGTAAAAACAAGTAGGGTATCCAGGAGCCTTAAAAGCTAGAGCTTTTGGAGAAGCTAATTCTCAAGCTTTCTTGGTCTGTTGGTCCATTCACTGCATTCGGAGGCAAATTAAGATACAGTACTAAAAGCATGGCGCTCGTCCCACATTGTTATTGTTTTTAAAAGAATTTGGTCAAAGCTAGGCTAGGCTAACCCCCTGTCACCAAGCAACCACTATTTATGGAACAATAGAATCAACTAGGCCTTGTTTTAGAGGATGTTTTCTTCTGGAAGGACATGCAATACCGATTAATTTCGAAAGGTTTCCTTCTACAGAATTGTCCTATCTTATAATCGCTTCAAAATGAATTTACTTTATATAAGGGTGACGTTTAGTACTTTACAATATAATGTGATTATAAATAATATAATTATAAGTAATGTGATTACAAAGAAATTAAATAACATTACAGTATTTGGTATACAAACAAATTAATGATAAAAATGCAAAAAAAGTAACATTACAGCGTTTGATTTATAAGTACTTTACTAGAAATGTAATATCAATTCTCAGAATTACTCTTATTTATTAAAATGCAAATTTAATATTTTTATATTTTTTTGTTGTTAATTTTTATATAATATCATCTCTTAAATACATTTTTAATGTCATATATTTTATTTTCATTTCTTTAATACAATTTCTTATATTATATATTTTATTGTAATTTCTTTTTCTTATATTATATAAATTTTTAATTTCATATATTTTATTCTATTTTAATTTTTAATTCTTATATTATATATTTTATTTTACTTTTTAATTTTAATTATACCATTACAAAATATTTTCAATAAAATAATAAAGTTAAAGGAAAAAAATACATTTAACAATATTACAGAGTATAATATAATGTAATTACATTGATTTTTCATTATAATCACATTACATCTTTGACCATAATGTAATTACATTATACTCTTATATTACAATAATTTATTATAAAATAAATATTATAATATAATTTAATTAAATATATTATAAAAATATAATCTCACTTTTTCCATACCTAACGTTACTCAAATGTTTATATATTGTAAGTGTTAAAAGGCAGGGTGGGCGTTGAGTGGAAGAAAGGGCCTGCCAAACGGGAACCATAAGACGAGCCCATTGTGAGAGAAGGAGCGACAAACAATCAACCCACTACGTGAAAGTTCAAAAAGCCTACCAAATGAGAGGAGAATACTGCCTGAGACCAGCCCAATTGTCACATTTCACTCTCTTTACTTTTCAAAATTTTCAATCTTTAACCTTTTATCATTTTCAATATTTTAATTGATCAAAATTTATAATATATATTATATTATATCTCGCGTTTCTTGGAAAAAAAAAGAAAGAAAGAAAAAACACTTCAACTTCAAAAAACGATTAAGAAAAAAATTACTTAACTAGCTCCATGTACTAAGTCACCAAGTTAAGTTCTCTATAACTTCCCAATAGTAAAACTAATTTGTGAACCTTGTGATTTGTTTTGGATTACTTTCATTGTTATCCACATGATATAACTAATCCACACTAATTCTCATTATTGTAAAACAACTCTTAAACAAAGCATTTACAAAGTCAAAAGTTAAAAAAAAATTGACTGAGAAAAGTCCATCAACATGTAACAAGAAGTTTTTCTGGGACAAAGTAGTTATATTTGACAATAATATCTCTCCAAATGGTAATATGATTCCAAGCCTTGTGCTGGAAGGTAATACCTTCAGACTCCATTTGGGAGCGCGGGACAGTGTGGTGGGTAGTTCACTGTTTCGCCGTGCCAAACGGGGCCTTATGACGTCTAAGGTTCAAGGAAATGTCAGATTGAAAAAATGCTAGGTGAACCAAATGTGATAATACTGAGTGAAAGGAAATAGATTCTAGAAATTGTACAAACTAAACAGTTATGACCAAAATCAGCAGAACACAGAGTTAAGCAAAATGGAATCTCTTGCCAACCAAGCACAACAGTAATCAGGAAATCAAAAGGAGCAAGAAAGCAAACATTTTCACTTGTTGTTCCTCCGCCTGAGATCATAAGCCTGATGTGAGCTTTATTCGATATTTTGAAGTTTTAACCGTTGATCTATCCTGTAAGCACCCTGTTATCCTTGGCCTAGAATCAAAAAGCATGATTACAGTAGATTCAAAAATGCATGATCCTAATTTTTTTCCAGAACGAAAACAATTTCAGAACATGCGGTATGGTCACAACTCACAACTGACATCATAATATAAAAGAAAATAGCATTGTCAAGCAGCTAAAACACTCTATATCCAGTAATTTCTCTGTTTGTAAACACAAAACTACAACACCAAAGTTGCAATGAAACATAAAAGAAGCCACTACAACCTAATAACATTGATCAACCTCACGTTGATAAACAGAAGTGGACGAAATTTCAAGGTCCCACACCCAAAATTCTTCTTTATCCGACTGACCCCCCCCCCCCCCCCCCCCCCCCCCCCCCCCCCCCCCCCCCCCCCCCCCCCCCCCCCCCCCCCCCCTCCCTTCTTTCTTTTCTGATATTTTTCTCTCCCTATGCAATAAGCATTGCCACAGTTCCGAGCAAAGCAACCACACTTTCCAGAAAGATCCAGCAGACATTACATCGAATCAGTAGGGCATGAATGCCGAGATGCATAGAAATAAGGAAGCACAAGGACACATCAAAAATTGACATTAAGCAAAACTGGCAGGCCAAAAGAAGGCAAAACCTTCCTAATCATAAACTGGTAAAATTTCCAATAATTACAGAACTTATTTCTCATTAAATAGAAAAAAGAATAAAAACACAACTTTTTCCATGATTGCACTATACCTGATATAATTTTGTCAAGGATATTTAATAGAAATCTGAAATATTTTATAGAGCAATATCTGAAGATTCTCTATCATTTTCAAGAGCCTCCTGCAAGGACAAGGGTATGATGCTTGATAAAGATAAAATAATCCCACAAAACATGAGAGATTCTGTTGGAATGACTTACAGATTCATCTTCAGAGAATCACGTATCATGAAGTAGTATCGGATCACCAGGAGCTCAGAAGAGTTTGAAAATTTATCTAACCAGGGTATAGATAACACTGTTCCACTTCTTTTTGCTGGAGAATCAGATGTTTACTCATTTATACTTCAGCTTCACAATTTTTCTTGCATATAATTAAGAAGTACAATACGTCAATGCAAGAAACAACTTTAAGAATCACTCAAGATTGATTAATGTTGGGAATATAGTAACTATTACCTCAAGAAAAAAGGCTGATATTAGGAAATGTCTGTGGATGTGAGGTCCAAGAAGCAAAAAGAAGAGGAAGAAGTATGATATAAATGTGGAAGCTATGCTGTATGAACAAAGCAGGGTGGCAGACAATTACTCATATTTGAAAAGCGAGGGCCTAGACTGGAAATCTTAAACACAGCAGCTAGATGAAGTTTCACCAGAAAATTAGGCTGAGGCATAAAAACTGCAAAAGAAATGCCTCGCATAACATACTGTGAAAGAAACATAACACAAAAATTAGAAAGAAAAAGAGCTTTGGGACAGATGAACTGTTCACATTGGGTTTTACCAAATGTGACATCATTTTCAGATTTATACAATGCAGCAACATGAAATTCAGAAGAGGCAACTATCGACTGAATTGCATATTTTTTAAAGAACAGAATCAACTTGACATGAACTCTGTACATCTCCAACAATGGGAAATGAATTTACAGATTACTCTTCCTCATCCATCAAAAGATTGTCAAAGGTAATCAGCCCATATCTTGTTGCAGTGCTTATCCCTCTGTGTCAATATTATCATCACTGGAAGACAATTGTCTATTCTCTGACAGTGAAAGCCGCCTGGCCTTTGTAGAGCCTGCTTCAACAAGCCCCTCTGATGACAGGTTTAACCCAGCAGTTCCTGAAGATGACCCCAATAAACGGTGAACTGGGGCATCAGATGGAGATGATGTAGAATAATTGTATGTGAAAATTCCCATAGGATGGTTAAACTTGCAACTTGGACCAAATTTGCAAATTCCATATCGAGAATAGAAAATGCAAAGAGGTTCTCCCTGTTCAAATACAAAAGCACCACAACATCATAAGGACAAAAATATCAAATAATAAAAGAATAAAATTAGCAACATAGTAAAAAAGCATGTCTGCATATAGTAAGGAATCTCTCCTAGTGAACTACCCACATGCACCATAAAATCATGGGAATATTGCAAGATTAAATGACTATAACAAAACCCAACCTCAAACCAGAATGAAAAAGTGAGATGGATAACAAATAAGCAAAACATACTAAGTTTGGTAATTAAGAGTGACAATAAGAAAGTCAAAGTGATAAAATTCTACAAGTGACCATATAATCTGGGCAACATGAAAGCTTCAAAACAAGTGTGTGAGGTAAAACTCTCTACCATAACAAATCAAGACACAGTAATAAACAATAAATGAGGAAGTTAACTTGAAAGAAAACCTTTTAACTCTGATCTATCCATCAGAAAAGAGTTACGTGAAGATTTTAACTTAAAAATCTCAGCATTGAAATTCATTGGCAATTAGAATTTAACTTATACAGGTCACATTATCTGAGAAGAATTAAAGAACAAGAAGAGCACAACTGAGGGCTATCATAGTCAATGAAGTCAAATTCTTTGAAGATGGTCATTGAGTCATAGCAATTTTCATAGGAATATTGCACTATCCTAAACCCTATGGGGGTAAAACAAAAGTAAAGAGTTCATACACAAGTGTTAGAGGATCCTGTGGTAAAACCTACAGTTTACCTTTTCCTTTTGGTACACAGTTTACGGTTTTAAATTAAAAGATTAAACCCTACAGTTGGAGCAAAAAGGAAATTTAACTATAGTGGTTCTGTAAATCAATCAACAGAAATAACTTTGTTCTCACTAAATTATTATGTCAACTTGAAGCTAACAGAAATATCCTTTGACAAGATTACCACAAATTTGTGGACTATTTTTTTACCTTTAAGGTTGGAGATGGCTAATTGTTGGATAAGTCTACAAGAATTCTCACATGGTTAAAGTTATTAATCTGATGCAGTATGGAAAACGGAAAGAAGGAGAGAGAGAGAGAGAGTAGAAGAAAAGGAGACTAGACAGGAGAGAATCTACACTAAAGCATCCAAAACCAGCCCCAAAAATTAGCACAGTGAAACACACACATAACAAACCCTGAATCTGAAAATACCAAAAAAATCCTTAAATCAAAATGGAAATAAGATAATTTCTGCCTCCAATGCTTTGTCTTCCAAGACTGCATCATAAAAATTAGACTGAGAATAGCTTTAACAGAGTAAGATTTTATTGTATTTATTTTAAATGAATCAAGATGGATTGTTTATGGTGCTCTCATAACTATCTGTGGAACTAGACCAATTTTGTGGCTCCTCTTAACCATAAAATCCTAATTCTAACAAACCCCAATTATCCTAGAATTGATCACAACAAGAGCCACCTATCTTCAATGTGGCTGATACATCCTATCAAGTATAGTAGTGGCAACAGTTGCAGTGACCAAATTCTTGAATTCCAGAACTTTTTCACTATCAAAACTCAATCAATGCCTAATAGCCTTAGACTCTTTTATCCATAGAATGAAGAATTGCCCAAAAAGCAAATATCTACTTTTGTAAGAACAAAAATCATTAGCTTGAGCTGCAACTAAAACCCAACAATTAGGAAAAACAAAATCAAATTTTTCTAGAAAGAAAAAAGTCATGTAAGGTAATAGCTAGGGAATGACATAGATTTAAATATCATTAAGACTGGGTTTTTCATAAACAGCTGTAATTATTTAAACAGATAAAGACTCAGAAATAAACTGAAAGACAGAATTTCCACCGAATACATAACTCACCGGACGTAAAGGAAGGCCTATAGGACTCAACAAACAGTCTGGGGCAGGAAGAACTCTCTCTCTTGGGTGATGAAACCTACAAACTGTACCAAATTTACAATCTCCAGTCTTCATGTAAAATTGGCACTCAGGCTGGCCAGGTCTCTCAGGAAATACATTCTCTCTCTGCAATGCATAATAACCCACAGGGACAGAGCCAGAACGAAATTGAGAAAAGGATGCTTGAGACCCTGCAGTTGCCGATTCATTCTGGTGTGAGGTTCCATATTGATTATTTCCATTTGTCTGCTGCAGGTTCTCTGACGAAGAGACTGATGCCAGTTGACCCTGGAGAAATGAGAAGCATTAGAATGGTAGCACTTCTCAAAAATCACATGTTACACGCTGCAAAGATGCTTGCTAGTCAAAGTGAAAATCAACTTACAGAATCAAATTCTTTATAACCAAATATTTTTTTAAAAAAAAACCAGAGATTAGATGTATGCTCTCAGGCATTTTGATACAGTACACTATTAGAGATGCCATCAAACCATTTGGACCAAAACCATAGAAATAACTCAGCACTAGAGACAAGCACAACTATAATATTACCATAAAACATTTGTTCTTCAATGGAAATGCATTCATGGCCAGGTTCTGATTTATAGTGTACAGTTAATAATGTATTCAGAAGGAGATAGATTAGTTGTTTTGTAGAAACAAGCATCTGATCAAATAAGTTAGAGTTGAACTAAAAATTTTGGATTCAATGTCACTCTCATTTCTAATTGTCAAGTAATTCAACAATCATGTATACAGTTTTAAAAGAAACCTCTTCACTTCATGTTTACTTTTACCAAAGACCAAACTGGTGCAACCAGCATATGAATGGCCCTCATTAAGAGTTAAATTCCAGTCCACCTCACCTGTTGATGGGAGTTGACCCAGATTTTGACATGCTTATTTGATTCTTAATCATAAACCTACTAATAAGCATGATAAGAAATATATGGATCATGTTTAACTTTTTAGGCCAGAATAGTTCCTTCAGAATATCAACCAGATCTGCAGCAAACTGCACTTGTCCAAGCACAGCATCAGCCAACCACAAGTGTCTCCTACAACAAAAAGCAACAGAACTCCACTACCACTGGTAACAGAACCAATACAGTCTACTTGTGACCTCCAACACTTCAACCAACTACCATCAGACTTAATTTTTGGGCTTTCATAATGCTACCAAAGTACCATTAATTTCATGTTAATGGCAAGCCTCACAAAATCACTGTTCCCATGGCTCTCTGGACATTAGCTCCATCAAATATTAGCATTTAGCATTATGCAACTGTACCCAAGCTGAGAATAAGATTCTTCTTTAGAGGAAAAAAAGAGGTCGTTGGTTAAATTTCACCATTTTAGCATGCTCCAGATGCATTTTGTTGAGGCCAAGGAAAAGATAAAAGGTGATCAACCATAAAAGAAACCTTTTGTGATGAAGGTTGATAATGCTTCTCTGAAAATAATTGAGCAACTTCTTGATTCAAGATACAAGCATTAATATTTTCCAAATACAAAGTATTAGCATATTGACAACAACAATTCTCTTAAGTTGCCTCACTTGTCACCCCAAATGTTCTCCAAACACATGTAAACACTAAATAGACATGCTTAATGAACAAAGCATTAGTAATAAGGCTAGGAAAAGCTTACGCTGTAAGCATTCCAGCCTGGAACTGACACCACCCCTTGAGGTAAAATCAAAGGTGCATAACTTGAAGGACCTTGCCAGCGGGGGCTGGGAATGAAAGATGCTCTTGACCAATTTGTAATCCCTCCTGCATATGACTGCTGACCAGGAGTCGTAGGAGAAGGGACAGTTTGATAAATAGGAGAGCCACGCACAGAGACCATCATATTAGTTGGCTGAGGATGGTGGAATTTACAAGTGCTCCCAAACTTACATTGTCCAGTTCTTAAATAATAAGCACACTCTGTCTCATTCTGTATGAAGGAAAAGTTAAAAAGAAAAAGAAGTTACACTAAGCCTATGAAACACTGATAATCAGAAAAAACTGTGTGCTAGAAACAAATCATTTAAGAATACAGCTTGCCTTAACGAGGTCCAGACTAATACAACGATTTAATCTCAATATTGAGTCCAGCAATGGTCCAAAATTCAGCAGTATTTTCATTCATGCAATCCAATTTAAAGTTAAAAACAAATTTATAAATAGAAATTAAAAAGATAAAAAGTTCTCTGTGAGCCATAGCAAGCCATAAACATTTTACTTTATGATCCCCGCATATGTGATTATTTTTGCATATCAGATCTAAAGGATAAACTAACTAACATTCAGTCAATATAACTATGCAATTGGCAAACAATTGGACAAGCTAAGCTGGATGGTATCAATTCCCCCTCTTTGCTAAAATAACCCAGTCAAAAAAAAATCCAGTCAAAAGATTGGACTTTCTTTTTATAAAGACAATGGAACAAACAAAAATGGAACAGGTAAAGACCTGAATATTGACGTAATGTATCATTATAAATTTGTATTGTAAGGAGTTTAAGGAAAAAAAATGAAATCCGAACCGGGCGAAGAGGATAGCCCAAAATATTTAAAGAAACCCTCCCAGCTATCCCAGCTTTGTCTCTAGGATGATGAAACTTGCATGTAGCTCCAAATTTGCAAGTTCCTGTCTTCAGGTAGTACTGCAGAGCAGTTAAGAGCAAAATGTCAATTGTCAGATCCAAAAATACATGAAAACAAGAAACATGAAGTCCCATATCTGAAACATGAGGCAGCAAAACCAAAAGAGTAGCTTCTGTCAAGATTGCAACTTAGCTTCCATACAATCTAAGAGGAGCCAGTGCTATCTTTCTTTCTAGAACAGAAAGTGAAAGCAACATAAAAGAATAAAGAAAATATTAGGAGAATTTGACCATCAAGTCCAGCTGAGGGTTCAGACTAAGTTTGATTGATATCTCAAACCACTAGAAACAGAAGGAAACTTTTTCCAATCCAAGTTATCATCATATTTCCATTTTCTTGGGTTCTTTATTTGTTTACTTTATTTATACTAGGATCGAGACCGGACTGGATCCGTCTTTATGAATTGCACATGATTAAAAGAATCTTTTGAGGAAAAAGCAGGGACGTAGGAGGAAGAGACCACATAAGAAGGAACAGAAACCCTTAATCATCAACCGTCTGTGTTGTTTACATTATTATTTTTGATAAATATTCCTTTAACCTATAACCTAATGAATCTTGCTATGTTCAACATCCAGCAGGATTTCCTTTAAAACCAGCAAAGTAATCTTTATTTCCATTTTGAACAACTTTAAACGTAGCAGGAACGCTTGTCTAATTCTAGTGTATCGCCCATATAGATGTGAACAAATTCTGAACCGCAAATTATCAATTTTCAACATCCATGGACTCAATTACAACAAGTTCAACCAACAAATGGATCTAACAGTCAAATCCATAAGAATTCACCAAAAATAGCATAAGCATTAATAGAGAAATATCTCCATCAATCTAGACTGTTCAAGTTAAAATGATTGCATTTACTAAATCATTGAAATGTTTGACCCATCATTTTGATAGGCGAAATCTCCAAGACACAACAAATAAAATAAATTTCCTCTTTGGATACATAAAAGTGGGGTGGGCCTGTTGGCACTCCTAATTGTCTATAAACACTCCCCGCTAACAACTTATAATTGTAATTTTCTAAATTACCCTCACTTAAATAATATTTTATTCAGGTCAAATTTTAATTAATTATACTACTATTTATCTATTCACACTCCTAGTTAATCTCAATTACTCTCACCTTTTGTTTACGCACCTTTAACTCTCCATAGCTTCCATTCCTTGTGACTCTTCATTGCTTTCTTTCTTCTCCAGTAGCATTCAATTCATTAATTTTAGATGAATCTAACAATGGAGCAGCAACAAATTGATGATGAAAACATGAACTTTAATGAAATCTCTTGCCCTAATGGCAAAAATAGCTTGGAATTGGAGTTATTCTTAACTTGCCATGCTTTCTTCTGGTATGTTCTTCTTTTCTTTGTTTAAATAATTCTTTATTTTTTTTATTTTAGAAATTTTGCTCAACAAAAACCTTTTTCCAAATTTATTTGTCTAGATAGTTGTCATATCTGTTTTAGTTGAGATGTACAAAGTTTAAGTTGGGTAGAAAATTGATGGAATAGATAGGAGATAAAGAAGATTATCGTAAATGTTTAAATAAGAAAATTGGCCCAGATTATTGTGAGCAAGTTTAGATGCTAGGTCTGTAACAATTTCAAGGTTTGGTGCAAGTGGAAGTCTCATAGATCTCAATGCACTCCATGGTTAAAGGGAGTAGCAAACTCATCTCCTAATGACTTCAATAGAGTAAATTATGTATGTCTAGTTGTTTTAAATATGAGTTTAATCATAAGCTTGTTTGGTGGCAAAACTAATGATTGCGTTTGGGACTGAATATGGATTCAATGAATTTGGTTAACCAATCAAATGGGCTTATTTATTGTTGAATGTTTAGTATATTTGTCTTCACTTTTAAGGTCATTCCTTATTAGAGTTTTTTATTCCTCATCCTCTAGATAATTTGTAACAAACACACCAGTTAGTAAATGAACATAAAATATTTTTTTTGACGAAGAACATAAAATATTTATTACTGATTTTTTATTTTTATTCGGAGGGCATGTAATTACTTAATAAACATGAAATATATTGGCATCCAACTTTGTGCATTTCTTATAGTGCTATTTGTATTTTTTCTTCTGAAGTTGTTTCTACAAGTTTGCTATACAAATTTGCTTCAGCATATGAATCTGAGTTTCGTATAGAAAAATACTCTCCTCCTTTTTTATTAAGTTGCAAGTATAATAAAAAATTGTAAAGATTTCAATAAATAAGTAAAAATACAAATAATTAATATTGGGGGGTGTGAATAGACAAACATTAATATATTTAATTAAAGTTTAACGTTAATAAAAAGTTATTTAAGTGAGGGTAATTTAGGAAATTACAATGTTAAGTTGCTAGTGGGAGTGTGAATAGACAATAGGGAGTGCCAATAGCCTCTCCACATACTGTATGTTAATCATAAATTGCAAATTATAAAGCACATAGATAAAAGCAGCAACATTGTTATTACATAGGAAACCAAGGAATAAGTACATGCCTGGCATTCAGGTTGTCCTGCTCTTTCTGGAAATTCTCCTTTCATCCTTGCAGCGGCAATAGCCTGGAATTTGATATAGTCTAAGTAAATGTTTCAAATGACGATATTTAAAAACTCAAATGAGTAGTAAGATAAAGTTAAACTGAAATGACAGTAGCAGATGAAGTATACCAATGTTCGGAGCAGCACGTGTGCACGTGTGTGCGTGCGCACGTGCATATACAAAGCCGTCCTTATCTCTTGAGCATCTATATACTCTATAAATTTTCCTAAAATGAGTTCTGTTTTAGTTTGATTTAGAAGTAAACACCTCCAGTTTCTCCAACTTAACTACCAATATTATGTCAAAGATAATAACAAGGCTTCTAAACGGATGAAATTGAGAAGCTCTTTGGCATTGTACCAATAATATCTCACTCATATATCATTAACTCTGAGTTCATAAGAATTGTCCAAACAAGCCACGGCTTTATACCAGCTTTCGGTTAGGAGGATGATTAAAACGACATGTTGCCCCAAATCTACAAAGGCCTGTCCTGATATAATAAGAACAATCTGGTTCTCCAGGACGCTCAGGGTAGGGACCAGATTCCATTGTTTCACTCGATCTCAAGTTCATTTGCCACAGAGCATCTGAAATAATATTAAATAAGTAGGTTCAGAAAATACATGACAAAATAGAGTCAAAGAACTACATACGGGTATTGCAAATCTCATTTCGTGCACAATATTCCTGCAATGTACAAACTCTAAATTTCAATTTGTAGTTTCATATTAGCTTCAAAATATCATAGATTTGTCCCTTGCATTTAAAGTAGACTCACCCAATGCTCTAACAGTGAAAGCATCAAGGTGCAAATGATTGAGAATTTGCATGAAATAATTGGGACAGGATGAGAATCCCTTCAACAAACATGCTTCTGGCTAGCAGCAGTAAGAAATCTCAGTCTAACCTTTGACTTCTGCATGCCTCTACAGTGGCCAAATTATTGAGGAAAAAAAAAAGACCTTTATAAAACTTGTTTATGTTCTTTCCCTCCTTTTCAAGATCCAAACTGCCCTCTAATTTGAGAATGTTTACACCAATAACAGAAAATTTCATTTTAGAAAATTCAGCATTTTAAGGAAGCGTGAAGATCAACTATCTACAATCCAGAAAGTTTAAAAAACAAATAAATGTGGCAATATTCTGTTCAATATAAAGATAATTTATCCAAGAATCTGTTCCAGTATACTAAGTATTGTGCTTAAAAGTAGCATCCTATACAAGATAACTGAAAAATAGAAAAGGTAAAAGAGTTATAGTTCAAAAGAGACAAGAGTTGATGTAAAAACATTAACGTGATGAATCCATTTTAAAGACTGCCACAAAACTGAATATTAACTGAGAAATGGTACTCAGAGAAAAGAGCTTCTATTTCCACCATTTTGGAACCTGAGACATAAACTATTATGTCTAGAATAATCATGTTTAATATGATTTCTCCATATTATAATGATATGTGTTTCACATGGGTAGTCCATATTCAAGTTGCATGAACAACAACACAATTTATATCTGAAGCACTAATATGATTCCCACAATCACATTAGCAGATCTGATATATGAAAAGAATATACATTTTAAAAAAAATTCTAACCGTAAAAATAATTCAGAAATTTCACTCTTGTCACTTCAATTAAATCACAACTCAAAAAGATGCAGTTATTGAGCCCAATCAATTATTTTTATGTACATTGGAATAAAAGAAAAAGATAAAACAAGGCAAATTGCAGATTACTTTGGATAGGGAAGACATGTATGCTTTGTTTATGTGAGAAACATATAACAAAGACCAAGAAGGTCTGTAGGACAAATGCCCACTTCTCTGAGGGCTTTGTTTGGATTAAGCAGAAGGGAGATGGAGTGATACTTCTCCCTTGTTTGGAAACATTTAGTTAGAAGGAGATGGATTTGGAGGTGTACTCAGGAACCTCCAAATCTTCATTTGTTTATATACTGTCCAAGTTTGACAGCTTTGGATGGAAAGAATTCCTCTTAAAACGTTTTCATTGTACAGACAAAGTTGCTCCTTCTTTACAATTTCATTTCAACAAATAATGATATAGTTGTTAAAGAAACATGATAAGTTATCATTACTTGTCACTAAGCTAACATACTTGTTCCTTTACTTTCCATGTTCTTCTTCAAGGAATCCAAACAAAAGAAACCTTACCCTCTCTCTTCCCCTCTTCTCCTCTCCCTTCTCCCTCCACATATTCTCTCTCCTTCCTTTCCCCTTATTCTTTCTCCTTCCTTTCCCCTTTCCCAAAACAGGCCAAAATCTAAAAAGAAATAGGAAAAACAGTTTATTTTTTCCTCTCTTTTATGTCAATCACATACCAAATGAAGTCATGGGAGAATCATAAGTCTAAGTTATCTGTCCCTCTCCCTGCATGATGACCATAATCTCATCTAGCATATAAAATGTAAACAAGGAGAAATCTCAGTATATTTGATTATCAACCCCAACTATTCACTTCTTTTTTAAAATAAAAATAAAAACACCTATTTAACCTTTTTATAAACAAAATTTCCCAACTTTCTTGAGTAAAAAAGAAAAGAAAGATCACCTATTTAACCTTGAAATGAATTTCAAACAAATGACAAAAAGTAAAAAAAAAAAATATGATATAAATTATTTTCTGCAACCATGTATGCTCCTTGATTTTACCACAAAACATCAGGCAAAAATGCCAAAGTTTTACTAGTAAAATTCAACAGAAAAGAGAGGAAAAGGATTATTTAGTCTAAAGCCCATCGCCTCTATTGCCTAATTGCATTCACACTATCAGTCAAGGGAGAAAATAAGGAAACAACCTTAAAACTTATATAACAGCCAATCAAACAGTGACATAAAGATGTGAAAAGAGACCGACTAGAACGACCATCACCACCTCAAAAGATACATAGGAAATTAATGCAGCTCAAATTTCAGCATTGATCAAACCAAATTCATAAAAAATTAAAAACATTAAGGTCCAAAAGGACTGATGCCTTTCACTACTTGCCTTTTTCTTCTAGAATCAAGAGGCAAAAGCTTTAATTTAAATTTAAAAGCAAACAATATTTTCTGAAAAGTTAAAAACGTATTTTCTTGATGACAAAATGCATGATTTTACTTCTATAATATAACAATTATACTTATTAGAATAAGTGTAGCATTTTAGTCGTTTGTTCATTTTTCAACCAATTAATATTTTGGCTTACTAGCATTTGCTTTAACAAAAATACAGTAAAAGAAATAATAAAATAAAGCAATAGATGAAAGAAAAAACGAAACAGATAAATAAAGAATAAAACCTCATAACAAAAAATTTGAAATTTCATTTTCATTTCTTAGAACCTTAAATTTGACATTGAATTTGAAATTCAAAAAAAAAAATAAAACAAACTAAAGAAAGTGGAATCTCAAATTCGTTCACCGCAACAAAATTTGCAACAACTTATTCAAAATCACGGAAAAATTGCACTATTTTCTCAATCATTGAAACGCAATTATGAATTTAAGATGAATTATTAATATTCAAATTTTACATAATTCCTTCATTAAAATTTAACCAAAAAGATGATTGATTATTGACAATGATCAAAGCGGAATTCACCATAAAAAATGGGCAGAAAGGACAATTCACCACAGGAAAATATAACCAACAAAAACATGTGAACCGCATTTCTCTTGCGTTTCACAGAATAAAAAACTAAAAAAAAACAGAGTAAAGAAATATAAAGAGAGAAAGAGAGAGAGAGAGGCCTTGATTCAACGACGGTGAAAGCGAGGTTCCTTCAGTCACAGCCACCGCCGCCGCTGCTGCCACCGCTGCTGCTGTTCGGGACATCGGAATTCCAGCATCGAATGGGAATTCCATTCAGCAGTCATTTTCCTCCATCGCCACTACTGTCACCTTAGCACCACCTCCAAGCCGGAATTTTCATTCCCCGTCACAAACCACGCTGTCACAAAAAAAAAAGAAACAAAAACTCCACTCCTCCTCCCTCTCCTCTCCTCCTTCCCAACCGAAAACCAAAGAAACCAAAAAACGGTTACTTTTTTTAGAGAGAAAAAAAAAATACTAAGGGAGCTTTTCTTCACGGAAAGTCTTTCCTCGTTTTCCAAAAAAAAAAAACCACAAAACAAACAATTCCCCTTTTTTGTTTCTTAAGTTTTTTGCGTTTATTTTTTTGAGAGAAACGAAAGAGCGTTGTTTTCTCTTCTCCACAAAAACAAAATTGAAAAATTGAAAAAAGAAAAAAAGAAAAAAAGAGAGAGACAAAGAGGGAATAAAAACCAACCATCCAAAACCCACCAACTCTTTTATTTTTCTTTTCCTCTCCTTTCTTTTTCGCCTTTTTTTCACCAGCGTTTCACACAAAACCAACGATCAACGTTCTCTTCACTCGCGCGAGTACCCAATCCCATCTTATATCTCTTCTTACATCGCCACGTCATGGCTTGTTGTGCATCTACAGTTGAGGTCGCTTTCTATTGGTGGCTTAAATTTTTTGTTGGACAGGTGTCATTACGTAAATGCGAGTGCGAGTCTCAGCAGGGGGTGGGGAAGGGATCCCGATTTACTATTTCCTGGTGGGTTTTTTTTAATGATTTTTTGGAATAACAACTTTTTAATTTTCGACTACTCCTCCTCCTTTTGTGTGATCAACTTTTTGTTTTAGTCAAACGATAATTCTATCTTATAATCCAACAGTTTAGAGAAACAAGTCAAAAAATTAAGGAAAAAATGAAGATTTTTTGTAAGATTATGATGTAACATTTGAGTCCACTAATTTCGAAAATAAAATATTTGAACATTTTATAATGATGTGAAATAAATTCATTACTGTTGAGGAATAAAAGATGTTACTTTATTCATATTAGGCATATAAGCACAACTTAAATAGAGATTCTTGTGTTAAGTTTATTTCTAAATGAATTTTAATACTTTATTTAATTGTTATTAAAATTTTGACATTCAACAAATATAGACTAGATTTTGTCATAATTACTGTTTTTAGTTAATTCTTTTCATATGATTGATATACTAATTAAATTTTGTCAAATTAGTTGGTTTGGGTTTTTTTTAATAATTTTAAATAGTAAATTTACAAACTTTATGTGATGAATTATTACCTAACCTTGCCCAATTATAATCAACATATGCAACTTGAATACAAGGATGTGGGGATCTAAACTATACTAACCACAAGTAATGTAACCTTATTACCCTCATAACCCTCGATTGGTGCCCTGTACCAATTAAAAAAACACTTTTCATTACAAAAACGTGTTAAAGTTTGCTTTAAATTTTACACATAACTTGTACTTGAGTATGATAGTTAACTTCTATATCCTTAAAATTTTGCTTACTTTTCTAAAATTCTACTTCATAACATTGTATCTTTTTTTATCGAGGAAAATAAAGAACAAACTCATTTAAGAATTATGAATCTAAGTCTAATACATGTTAAATTTTCTCTATTATGAAATAAAAAACATCTTAATTTTTTGCACCAAAAAAAAACATGTTTAATTGCTGACCAAATCAAATGAAAAAAAGAAAAAGAAGAAGTGAAGTTACATCTAAAAGGAAAAAAAAAACAAATAAAAAAGCTTACTTTTTAAAGAAAGGTGAAAAACATGTTTATATTAGTATATTAATATAAAAATATTTTAATAATAAATATAATTTAAATAAATAAATCAAATTTTGAATTAAATTTAATTTATAAAAATGTCAATCCAACTCAACTGGATCCATAACACTTCTATATGATGCAAAAGAAGCATTTCAATTGTTTGAGTTTCGTATGAAACAAATAAAATGATTTTTTTTTATCAGAGATGAAATGACATTGAATATAAATATTTTATAAATTAAAATTATTTATTTAATATGTTCATGAATTTTTCAATAGATATTTTCTAATTGGTGAAGAGAGTAAGCTTAAAATCGTCTTCAATCATCTTCGTCTAGTCTCCTTTCCCTATCTCATGCCTTGCCTCATCTCAGTTATTAACTTTATAAAAGACCATTTAGGATTTATATTCAATGAAGTGTATATATATATATATATATATATATATATATTAAATACACAAAAGTTATAAATACAAATCAACACTAGTTTAACAAAAGTTGTCAGCGAGTTCTTATGGTTTGAAAGTGTTGTAAAATTTATTAAATTATCAAAACTACAAAATGTATTTTTATTTATATATTTAATTAAAGAATCATTCATTCAAGAATCACTCTGCCAAAATTGATAATCTTATTATTTTTAAGTTACTATTCTACATACATCAAATTGTTTTTTTCAGTAAAAAACTTTTCTAATAATAAATGAATACTCTATTATAATAACAATTTATCAAAAATATAAAAAAACTAATTGCAAATATTTTCATGTTTTGAAAAAAAGCAAGCAATATCACCCCTTTGATTTTTTTTTTTTTTTGCATTTCTTTCATAAAATTACTTGTCATGTTCTTTTCTCTCAACTGATTCCTTATTTGCCTTTACTAGATACTATAAACAAATGAGGTAAAAGATAACTTTTTAAGTTATAAATATTTTTTATTTGTTGTTTTATAATTTTTTTTTTATAATTGAGGGAGAGGGAATTTAAACTTTGTTCTTTAAGCGGAAGGATAATACACTAACCAATGAACCAAATGCTCGAATGCTTGTTGTTTTATAATTATTGTTTAAAATTTTAATAGATTTTATATCGATAAACAAATTAATTATAAGACTTGTATTTTATAAATAATACTATACCAACTATTAATATGCAAAATAAGTCACCTTTTATAATAATTATATTTTTACTTTTTCAAATATTTATAATGATGTGATATATATTATTATTTTTAATTTTAATAAAAAAATATAAAAGATTTAAAATTTTAAACTATTTTTGTAATATAATCAAAGAGACATTAGGATATCAATGATGACAATTACCCTCATTGCCCCCAACCTGGATTCGTCCTTGAACCTAGTAGATTTTAATTTTGTGTCAAATTATATGAAGATGCCACCAAAAAAAACTTAATAGGACTTTTATTTTAATTATTTAAAAATTGGAAATTAGAGTTAATTAATTTTCATATAATTTTAAAATCTCATTGGTTAAGAAAACTAGTAATATCTTAATGTCACGAATTCCATACGTGTAAAAAATAAGATGAATCTTTAGTATATAAACATAAATTTTACATCACTTATTAGACATATTTTTTAAATTAAAAACATGGCTTATTATAAGTGACATCAGACTAGACTTAATGAAATCTTATAAAAAAACAAAAAAATTAAAAAAATAATAATTCAGATTTAAATTTAAAAAAAGAAAGCTGAAGAAGTTAACTTTTATTGTGAAACCCTTTGTTTGCATTTAGACAAAAAATAATACGTCTAACATTTTATTTTTTATAAATGATATAATTATATCTATTCAAACATAATATCAATCATTAAAAAATTAAAATGTAAAGCTTCCATACTTTTTACGAGATTAATTATAATTAGTTCAATAAAAAATGTTAAATGCAACCAAATTTTATAAATAATTATAGGGCATAATGACAAAATAAGTTTTGAAGAAGCAATAAAATTCTCATTTACACTCTTACTCTTTTAATATGTCCATGTAGAGGGCTAACTGAGATAGGATCTGCCAGCAAGCAAGAAGGGAAAGAGCACTCGGATATGCTTAAGTCAATTATCAATCTTTTCAAACTCTTTAAACAGTTTTATCAAAGGTGATTGTTAACCTAAACAACCTTTTTCAAAGGGATATATGCTGCAAATGCAATACATTACTCTTAGGATTGTGGTCCAAAATGTGGGTCAATGTCGGCTAACTGCTATTGAATTGCATTTAAGTTGTTGTAGTAGGAAGAGAGATGGAAGCATCAAATAGTTTGGTGGCAGTGGCAGTGGCAGTGGCAGTGGCAGTGGAGGATAGAAATGCAGAACCTTGGCAATGGGTGTCTTTATTCTTGGCTCAGCTTTGACACTTGCAACTTTGGAAAGCTTATCTTTTAATTTTGGTATTTGGGGCCTTTGCCTTGGGTCTAGCTTTGTCTGGGAGTCGGCCATTTCAAAAAGAATCAGCAAAAAAGGAAGGGCTAAGAGATACACATGTGGAAGCCTATGGTGTGCTATCCTATCATCATGCCTTTTTCTGGTGGTAATTACTTTTGCAACTTTTTTGGTGGCTCTGCTTTGAGTTTCTTTTCTTTTTGTTTTTTTAAACTCTTTTTCTATTTTTCCTTATTTCTTTCCCCTTCTCCTTCCCTCTGCCATCTTTTTCTTTCTTTGTGCTTCTATTTTGCCATCTTAAACTTGAGAAAAGTATCAAAATAATACTCCTTTTATTTTTTATTTATTGGGATTTTTAAGTAGAAGGGTATTTAACATTAAAATTAATACATAAATAAATCAACTACAAGAGATGATATTTAATGTGGTTTTGTACCTATTATCTATATCTACAAAAAAAAGGAGAAAAACACACTATAAACCTAGAGGTTACATAGAGTATAAATGTACCCTGGTAATCATTTAATTATACCTTATATCCAAGAAATAATATTAATATTTTACATATTATTATTTTTATACAATATTCAAATTATTATGATTATTTTGGGTAATTGTAAATAAAATTGCATTTGATTTTTACCTGATATCAAATAGGATGATCTTTAATTCTCAGTAATTAATACTTGTTAACTAAATATGACAATATTAAATCATCCATGATAATAGAACTATGATAACAAGATCATTATGGTGATCTTAAAAGTGATTTCTAACGCTATCTCATTCAAATTCCAAACCTCTTTCATTTCCCTTGCAGATCATTGATCTCTTCTATTTCCTCATGGACTTCGGAAATTACATCCAGCTCTTGTTGGCGTGGACGTCTTTCAGGCATAGAAGCATTCGGTCTTGTGCCTGTAAAGTCGAAAGAATTTGGTGGAATTTTGAGATTATCTTCTTTCCCATCCAACATTTGCAACACCACTTCCATGGAAGGACGATCCACGGGGTGCCATTGGATGCACCAAAGTCCTACAGTTGCTAGTTTCTTGGCAATTTTACTGCGTTCCTCTCCTTCGATTGAGATTCGTAGATCTTCTCCGTCTTCTAAAAGATTATGGATCCAATCAGGGTAGTAGGCTTCCACAGCATTATCATCTTTACCGTCAATGTTTTTCCTGCCTCCTACCATTTCGAGCAATAACATTCCAAAGCTATAAACATCTGACTTGTAAGACACGTTACCGAAATTCCTGGAGAACACCTCGGGTGCAATGTAACCTATTGTTCCTCGAGCTGTTGTCATGGACACTGCGCTTTGATCCTTGGAGCACATCTTAGATAGACCGAAGTCACAGATTTTCGGATTGAAATTGTGGTCGAGCAAGATGTTGTGAGGTTTGATATCGAAATGAAGGATTCGTTGATCACAGCCTCGATGAAGATATTCGAGTCCTTTGGCCACACCAAGGGCAATACCCTGCAGCTTTTCCCAGCCAAGAAAAAGGGTCTTAGAGTCAGCTGAAGCAATGAACTTTTGCAAGGAACCATTTGGCAGAAACTCATAGACTAGAGCTCGTCTAAATCCATCAGCACAGAAGCCTACCAAGCGAACCACATTAATGTGGTGGATTTTTCCTATTGTTCCGACTTCATTAATAAATTCTTCTCCGTTTCCTTTGGTTTCATTGAGGACTTTAACAGCGACTAGAATTTCATTTGACAGCTTTCCCTTGAACACAGTTCCATAAGACCCTTGGCCCAGTTCTTCCTTGAATTGATTTGTGATCCTCTTGATATCAGCGTAGGAAAATCTTGTGGGCTTGAGAGCTTTGTAATCCTCCATAAACTTTTTTATTCTTATCTGGTTCTCCCTGTCCAATTTGTCTGAGATATAAGCTTCATAGAGTGCCAAAACAACTATTGCAAGCAAACACGAGCTGAGAACTACACCTGCACATAATTCCAACAATTTGAGAGCAGTTTCTCTCAATCTTACTTATGATATTAATATTTAAGCAGGCTAACTTTTACCTGTGGCTACTTGTCCTGTTGATGGCCCTGCATAGAGTACAATTATAATACTATCATCAGTTCAAAAATCTGGACAAAACATCTTTCGATTCAAAACAAATAAATTTCAACTTATAAACTAAATCATATGAACTTCAAACAGAATGAAATTGAAATGAATTCGTCTTTTCTTTTATTGTCGGCATATCGCTTGAGTCCAAGCTTCCTATTCCTATGTAAGAAATTGAATGGATCACGGTTTCATCCAACACATTTTTTTCTTTGAGAAGTGGCTGTTAGTTGAGATGTTATTTCAGCACCTCTTTTGCTTCAAATAATTGACGACAACTTTAAAGTAAGAAACAGAGAATTTAAGAGAAAAGAAAAGGCACAAGGGTTACCCCTGTCTCTGTGTTTAGGGAAGCACAAAGTTTGAGGTTCTGAGGTGTTCATCTTCCACCCACACATCTTCCCTTCTTCCTTACAGCTTCCGCATTCCAATTTTGGTGAAGACCAACGAAATTGAATATCATGATTTTTGTAAAGTATATGTAGCGGAAAGGAAGAAACGTTATACATCTTGGTGCAAGCAAACAGAGAAGGCGACTCATCTATGGGACTGCTAGAATCAAGAGCAACAATTTGATGGCCAGCTTCACTGAGGAAGACCGGGTATTGGTTCGACTCCCATAGGTGAAATGTTCTCGAACAATTGAAAAATGAATAATCCTGAAACGGTGAGTACCAGTGCCGGAAAACAAAACTAAATGGAGAACCGGATAGATTCAGGAACTGAAGCCGTTTCAGAAGGCTGCGAGTCGGGTCATATAAATGAAGCATTTGTGACTGGTAATCAATCTTTGAAACAAATAGCTTCACAGAAACAGGCAGTTCGAGCACTGTTTCATTTTCTGTGGTGCAAGACAGATCAAAGCCAGTACGATAGGCGCAGTGATCGGGATGGATACCTTTAAGTTTGAAGGGGAAACGGATGGATGGTCCATGGCGACCGCATCTTAATTCCCGGCATTCCTGATTGATATCTTTAGATGCTGTGGATGAAATTAACAAGTAAAAGAAGCAAAATAGAGATGGAACCACGTCTTTTATTGAACAGGCCATAAACCTGAATGATTTTCTAAAAGTTAAATAGAAAGTGAGAATCGAAATGGCTAAAGACAACTAGCAAGTCATTTAAGTCTGAAGTTTAATTCATTGTTCTAAGGACTAGGGAGTGATGAAGTTACCCAGTTGCCAGTTGACGGAGCAACGAGTTGGTCTTGTACTCAGATATCAAAGAAATTTGAATGAGTTGAAAAAGAATGACTTGGAAATAAAAGCAAAACCATCCGTGGATGATTCCAACTTCGTGGAAAGATCTCGTAAACTGAATAATGAGCCATTTTCCTTCATGGGAATTGAAGTCAAAATACCACTGCTTTGCAGATCGCTAGTGTCGCCGGTCTGCGGCATTTAATTTCCTAGAAATGAACGGGGTTGGTGAGACTTTAAGTCATTGACCAAGTTGCCTTGATTCTTAGCCAGAAAACAAAAAGCGATTCGTTTTCCTGTGTTTGAATAACCATGCCGAAAAACACACAGCAACTTGCTGTAGTTGGGTAATTACCAGGTCGGCCCTCTTCTTTCCTTCCTCCTCTCTCAGACGTCAGGCTATCCGCAGTCACCATGCATTTGGGGAGATTTGTCTGCACAAAGTTTTCTCTTCTACACCTATTTCTTCTTTGTTGCGGTGCTAAGACACTCCCTTACCAATGCCAAAAACCCTCTTCCTGCGGCCAAATTCTCAACATCTCACACCCTTTTGGATTGAAAGGTGATCCTGGAAACTGCAGTGAGGAACCTCTCTACCAGCTGGAATGCGAGAACGATAACACAGTTTTTTACTCGAAAGCCCTCAAGTACTACGTGCTGGCAATCAATTATCAGGATTCCACGATCCGAGTTGTTGATGCCGGTCTTCTTCAAAGGAACAACTGCTCCTCCCTTCCTTTTCGTTCTTTCAGTTCTTATGATCTCCAGGATGATTTCTTATACCTACGACAAATGGGCATGGCAACAGTTTTATACTTGAGTTGTGAAAATCCAGTTGATTCTTCTCACTATATAGACACTAGGCCTTGTACCCATGGTGTTTATAATCCAGCCAACAGATCCTCAATGGAAAGGCAATATTATTCTTATGTTATGTTGGGGAATCGCAATGTGTCGGAGATTGCAGATCACTGCAGGATAGACATGGTAGTCAAGTCGTCTTCTCCAACAATATACAGTGAAAATCTGTCCTATGCAGACATTCATAACCAGCTTCTCTATGGGTTTCAGCTTGGATACTCTTGGGTCAATCCTGATCTTGACCATTGCGGTTTTCTTTGTAAGTAATTTCGTATCCCAATTCAAGCACTCAGAGAAATAGTCAGATTAAAAGTCAGGGGTCCATTAATTTAAATTAATTTAATTTTTTTTGTTAACAATGATTAAGTTGAGAAACATAAATAAATATTTTGTAATTATTTAAATATTTTTAAAATAAATAAATTAGTTCAAATTGTTTATTTGCCAACAATTCTTGTCTTATATATTGTGCTAATTTAATGCTATTCAAATAATATTCAAAACAAAAAATTGAGAAATATAAATACAAGTGGTCAAGTGGTCTTTGCCATCTGAGGAGATTATGTTAGTGATGGATACCTTAGGTGCATAAAGTTTTTTAATTAAGCAATTACGTACACATTACTTACAATCTTCTCTGCTTTCTAAATGCAGGTATGAGTGGTATTATAACGGCTGGTGAGTATTCTTAATAGCCTTTATATATATTTATCAACATTTTATCTTTCTTTCTTTACTTAGGTACCTTTCTCTAATTACCCAATAAATGGAACATTATATTTGGTCATCTCATGTCTTTTATTTGATCTCATGTTACAGATTTATTTGGCAATGCAGCATCATTGATTGGTAAGACCTTCTATTTAAAGCAAACAAACTCATGCATGTGCATATATATTATTGTTAAAATTGTCTATTGAAGTCCGAAAGAAATAAATAAATCAAAACAAAGTAAGTACATAATTTGAAAGACAAAGCTAAGAAGGAGACAAAGAAAATGAAAACTTTTCATCGTATATATTGATCTTTGGTCTAAAGCACATTTATCTTTGAGATCAGTATCTTGATTACTTTGTTACACATACAGGTTGATGACTTTATGATTGAGTGGAAATGGAAGTAATTAAGCTAGTTTCCGGATCTTATATGTTATGCTTGGTAGATAGAATTTGATTGAATAATATATAATATACCTAATTTATTAGGATTAGTCCTAAGTTAAGGTTAAGCTCTTCCTCTTCCATCTCTTTTAACTTAATTGAGCCCATTTGTATGTTTCTCTTGAAAGTAAATTTATCAACCTGCTCTATAATTTGTTCAGTTTGAATGAATATCTAAAATTAAGCAAATAATAATAAATTAATATCGAGAAGTAAATTTGTCATTTATATTTGTTCTGATCATTGTAAAAACCCCAAGCATATTTGAGCTCTCATGTTATGTAACGTTCCCCTCAAATGGTAATGTTTTACTATATTCAAATGCAGCTCTAATAATAGTTGTTGGAAGATTATGTACGCTGCCATTGGTGGTTGCATTCTTAATATATAAATGGCGTAGAAGACATTTATCAATGTTTGACATGGTGGAAGATTTTCTTCAAAGTCAGAACAATCTCATGCCTATCAAGTACTCATTTTCAGAAATTAAGAAAATGACTAATGGGTTCAAGACTATGCTAGGTGAAGGTGGTTATAGTTTTGTTTACAAAGGAAAGCTTCGAAGCGGCCGTATAGTAGCCGTAAAGATATTGGGCAAGTCCAAATGTAATGGGCAAGAATTCATCAATGAAGTCATTACCATCGGGAGGATTCATCATGCCAATGTAGTTCAACTGATTGGATTTTGTGCGGAAAGGTCTAAGCGTGCTCTTGTATACGAATTCATGGCCAACGGGTCTCTTGAAAAGTATATATTCTCGCAAGAAAGCGGTACCTCTTTGAGTTGCAAGAAAATGTACGAGATTTCTATTGGCGTGGCTCGTGGGATTGAATATCTACATAAAGGTTGTGACATGCAAATCTTACATTTTGATATCAAGCCACACAACATACTTCTGGATGAAAATTTCATTCCAAAAGTGTCAGATTTTGGACTTGCAAAATTATATCCGATAGAAGACAGTATGGTTCCTCACACAGCAGCACGAGGTACAATGGGTTATATGGCTCCTGAGTTATTCTATAAAAACATTGGAGGTATTTCTTATAAAGCTGATGTTTATAGTTTCGGAATGTTGTTAATGGAAATGGTTAGCAAACGAAAGAATTTAAATGCTTTTGCCGAGCATTCAAGTCAAATTTACTTCCCTTCATGGGTTTTTGACCAATTGAGTTTGGGAAAAGAAATTGAAATTGGAGAAATCACAGATGAGGAGAAGGAGATAGTGAAGAAGATGGTGATGGTATCCTTGTGGTGCATACAAATGAAGCCTAGTAATCGTCCTTCCATGAACAAAGTTGTTGAGATGCTAGAAAATGAAGTTTGCTGCTTACAAATGCCTCCAACGCCATTCAATCTGGTGTAAATGGTATCATTAATTTGTTTTGATTTTGTACCGCATATTTATTAGAATGGAATTGAGTAGAATAGATATTCTGTAGTGATAGAATAAGATAGGAATAGAACGTAAAAGGTTATATAATTTGGTTGGTAGAATGGAATAAGGTAAATTTGTTATTATGACTTATTGTAATATTTAGTTAGTAAAAATAATTTTAAAATAAAAAAGTAATTGGGGATAAGAAGACAATAATAACTTTTATTATAATATATGATTATTTATTTCTATGTTATTTTATGTTTTAAATATTAATAATTTATAATTTATTTAAAATATTTTATTTATAATTTAAATATTATTATGATCAAAATTTTAATAATTGTAAAATTTAAAAAATTAATTTTTATAATATATAATTAAAAACTTAAACTCTTTATTATAATAAGATTTATTTTCATAAAAAACAAAAATACTCTTCATATAAATTTAGAAAAATTTATACCAAAAGACAAAATTAAGTAAATTGTTTCCTTTTTAATCATTTAATTTTTATTTTCATTAAAATTTTAAATTTTAATAATTTAATAATTTATTATTAAAGCATTTGTATAAATTATTAAAGTATTGGTATAATTTTTATTTTTTCTCTATTTGTATTTTTCATTTTTTAATTTATATTTTCATTGAATAATTTAAACATTATTATGATTAAAATATTAACATATTAAAAAATTTATTTTAAGTTAAAATATTAATTTTTTAGCTTTGGGTTTGTAATTTTTAAAAGTGAGGACATTTTAATTCAAAATATTTTGGACTCTATTCCCATAGGTGTGGAATAGTTAATATATGGATGACAAGTTTAGTTCGCAATATAGAATAGAATAAAATAATTATTATACAAATTTATTCATGAAATAAAATATGGTAAAAATTATTTTTATAACTCATATTGATGTTTGGTTGGTAGGAATAGTTTTGGAATAGTTAAAGAATAAATAATAAAATGATAAAATTACTCTTTATCATAATTTAGTAAATTAGACAAAATTACTTGTTATTGCAATTAAATAATATTTTTCTTTTTTTAACCTTTTAATTTTATTTTTATTAAAATTTAAAATATTATTAATTTAATAATAAATTATCAATATGATTTTTATTTCAATTTCTTTTTATTTTTTCTGTGTTTGTATTTTCATTTTTTAATCTTTTAATTTTTATTTTCATTAAAAATTTAAATATTAATAATTTATTATTAAATTACTAATATAATTTTTATTTTAATTTATTTTTTATCTACAAATTGTAATTATTTTCAATAAATAGGAACTTTTTGTTTAATAAATTTTTGACTGTATTTCATAGTCATGGAATAATCATTAAGAAGGGGAGGTGGGGAAGGGTTAAATCAAGATTTTGGAGAATAGCCATTCCAAGTAATTGCTTTGCTATTCCCCTTATCAAAGGTGCCATGAGAGGGATGATAATGGACTATTTCTTCTTCCAAAATCAAACCAAACAAATAACAAAAAATTTTGAGATATAGAAGGAAATGACTAGACCAAACAAGCCGGTAATGTTTCATTTTTATCGACAATTTAAAAAATTTGATTTTTTTCTTCCACAATTTTTTCGAGTTTGTTTCGAATTTGTTCATTGTCAACATGCTTTTAGAATTTAATTGGAATTTATCCTGTGATAACTTTAATCTAAATCCTAACAATTGTTAAATATATGAATTTAAAACAAATCCATGAGATTTTTGAATGAAAGCCAAAAATCAATTTTTTTAGATCTCGAATGAAAACGAAATATTTTGAAAAGATTATGGGCTAATGTTACAATTTAGTCTTCCATCTATTTGTCTAAATTTTTAACGTTGTGTATTAAAAATGTACGAGAAACTATTACAATAATTTTTAATGCTTTGTTTCCCAAATTTTCTTGCAAGAAAAAAAATTTAAAGACATTGAAATTCAAAGCTAATATTTAGTAGGACTAGTTTTCAGTACACGTGCAATGTTGTGCAATTAGAACATGAATCATATTATATTACTTTAATTATGTCGATCAAAAATAAAAATTCTAGAGTTTTCTATAGCAATAATCATAAATAAATAAGAGAATAAATATTGGTAAAACTTTTGATTAACGAAAATAAACACATTAGTTCATTATGTTTTTAAATTATTATTTTCAATATTTTTACTATAAATGTTATTAAATTTATTCATTTATAAACAAGAATTTTAATTGTGTTGAATGGTTTTCATTAAAATTATTTTTACTATAAACATTAATAAGATTTATTAAATTTGGAAATAAGAATTCTATTTACATTGCATAATTTTTATGAAAAATATTTTTAATTATAATAATATTAAATAATTTATAAAATAATATTACAAAATTTCAATTATTTATACTTCAAACTTTACTCTTTAAAAACATATATATTTAAGTATAATTATTACCTAAAAATAAATGAAAATACAAATGCTCACATGCAACACCCGTGACAGTAAATACTAGTTACATTAAAATAAAATTATCTTAAATTTTTTTTGTAAGGACGAAAGAGAATTTTAACCTAATTCTTTGAATACATGCATATACAATTAAGTGAAATACTCAAGTATAGGATTATATTAATTTTAACTTAATAATAATAATATTTAGTTGAAGGTTTATTTGTTTCAAAAATAATTGCTTCATTAAAAAAATTTTACAATGTTTAATTAAAATAAAATATATAATATAAGGATTATAAATTAAAATAAAATAGAAGAAATTAAAATTTATATAATATAGGTAAAAGAAATTAAAATAACATATATAATATAAAAAATTATATTAAAAAATGAAAATAAAATATATAAGATTATAATAAGAAATGAAAATAAAATATATGACATTAAAAATATATTTACGAGTCAATATCATATAAAAGTTAATAATAAAAAATATAAATATATTAAACTTATATTTTAATAAATAGAAATAATTTTAAAAATTAATATAACATTTTTAATAAAGTACTTATAAACCAAATGCTACAATGTTATCTTCCTTGCATTTTAATCATTATTTTACTTATATATAAAACATTGTAATATTATTTTCTCTGCAATCATAATACTTGTAATCACATTGTATTATAAAATACCAAACATCACTTTAGGATTTTGGTATATAATTTATGTTTTAAAAAGTACGCATTTTACTGCTTAGGTTGCGTTTGGTATATTATTAAGAATGTGATAATTGAAAATGTGATTGCTAGAAATGTGATTGTTGAAAATATAATTTTGTAGCATTTGGTATAACAAGGGAAAGCAATAATTGTAGGAATTATGATTGTTGAGAGGATTACATTGTAATGTTTGATTTGTAAGCACTTTACTGAGAATATAATATAAATTGACAAAATTACCTTTATTAATAAAAAACATATAAGTTGAATAAATTTATAATTTTTAATATAAAATTTGAGTTTTCAACTTTAAGCAATTAAAATAATAAATAATATTTTAAAAAATAACACAATATTTTTATATTAATTATTTAAATATTAAAATATACAAAATTACTAAATATTTATTTTTACCTTAAACTTATAAAAATTCAAAATAAAAAACTTATCCAAAGAAAAATTTATCGATACATCACATTATTTATTGATAGATAGAACCCGTTGTCAAAAGTTTGAATGTAATCTATCATAGATAAAAACATCTATTGATAGATAAGAACATCTATTAATAGATATATTATTTTAAGCATGCTTGAAGCTTTCTTTCTTTTATAACCGTGGCACCCAAACACCTTTCCTTCTCAAATCTTTTGAATTCTTTAGTAAATTTCTTCGATTTTAAACCGTTTAAATATTTTTTTTCTCAATTTTTAACATCAAAAACATATTTTTTTCAAAATGCTTTCAAATTTCTTGAAAAATTGAAATGGGTTTCATAAAACTAAAGATCTCAATCTCTATAATTATTGAATTTGGTGGTGAAATTGGACCTAAATGTGCTAGTGGCCAGCTACCTTTCCTACGGACAGTGAGAAAAAGGAGGAAAGGCAAGAAAGAAGAAAGAGAATAAGGCAAGAAGGAAAAAGAAGAGTTGGGAGGTTAAGTTGGGAAATAATTTTTTTTTTACTTTCCATTTACAAAGGGAAAGTAACTTTCCCTCCAGGCTCATTACAATTGCATTGCTGAGGGATTACTTTCTCATCCTCAAAACATCAACCAAATACTACAATATATTTTTTTGCAATTTAATTACAAGGAATGTCCCTTACTTGTAGTCTACGCCACGTTAGTATCAAAATAAAAATAAAATCAAAACTCCTGTAGCCAAATATCCAAATTTGGGATATCAGACATATTAATATAAATTGCACCCTTCACAACCACATTATGTTGTTCGAAAATACTCCACTAGTGTCTCAACAATAGTCCTCTTGCTTCATCTTAGAGTGTTATCGAATTCAGGCATTACTTAAAATGTTGTCCGTAACCAAACCATACTCTTATCAATTGTCTTAATCCAAACCGCACTCTTCAAGTTGCAAATAATGTTATCGAATCGAATTGGACATCTTAAGTGCCAACTAGCTAAGGATTTTGGTATATACTTAATTTGATGATTGTAGATAAAGGACGGGATAAAATCTAGTTCCAAGCTTTTACCCAGATTTTTCTCCCCAATTTGATTCTTTATCAAAAAACAATACGGCAATACTGGTTAATTGATGAGGAGGATTAGGGTTGACTTTAGACGAACATGGTAGTTCTAGTAGGATTTAGGGGTTGCAGGAGTTTAGAGAGGATGTAATGTGAGTTCTCTCGAGGAAGGGACAGTTCCAACATAATTGAGGCCCAACATAACTAGGCTCACAACGAACATGCAATGGGGCCCAATATGATCCAAATTATAAAAGAACAAGTTAAGTTCAAAAATAAATAAAAAATGACAATAAATTTAGAACTTTGATTTTTGAAAGAACTTTTGATTTATACTTTCATCTAAAAGCTAAAATGGTCTGCTTCTGTACTTAAAAAACTCTTTTGTAACTGAGCCAAATACCCACAAAACTCCATATATAAAACATATTATTTCATTTTTTTTCTTCTTTATATTTTTTATTCTTAATAAATAACAAAATATACAATTCTAATAGATAAATAATAATTTAGAATAAAAAAATTAAAGTTGTATCCCAAATTGACGAAATATGCTCTTAAATAATTTAATTTTTAATTAATATTGATAAAATCCGACTCCACATGAAAAATATTTACAAGTCCACTTCACAAACTGAATTGAATCAATCTAATATTTGAAGCAATCAACCACAAAATTACTAAAATCCAAATGACACGTGTACAAAATAACCCGAGCCAATACGACGTAATGTAAACAAAAAATGATTACCGAACCGGACCGTCCAATTGGCTTTTGTGGACTTTGCCGCTGCCGCAAAATTCGCTGTAAGTAATAAAGGGAGATTCAGCGTCGAAAGCCTCGTTTATGTTAAAAAAATTAAAAAGAAAAATAAAAGAAGGGGGGAAAGGTCGGGGTCCAACTTTCTTAGCTGCTCTCAGGCTTTTCATATGGATTAAAAACTGCTCTGTTTCTCTTCTCACAAGTTTCAGAAGAGAAGATCTTCGCTCTTCGAAGGATCTCTCTCTCAGATCTCAGTGATTCACAAATGAACTCTACGATCCCGCCGAAGCTTGCTTCAGATCCCAGTCCCATCTCTCAGACCTCCCGTCTTTGATTTAGATCCTCCTCTTTCCCCTTTTCCTTTTTCTCTTCTTTTTTGTCCTATAAAATCTCCAGATCCCCCAGAGTTTCTCTCCCCACTATTTTCGTAAAATGGGTTCCACTTCCATTCGCTTTCTCTTCATTGCTGCCTTTTTCTTCTTCGCTCTCTCTTCCATTTCTTTTGCTCAGGTTTTGTTTCCCTCTTTTTTACTTTGCTTATCTTTTTTTGAAGCTTATTCTTTCAAATTTATGTAAATAATGTAATGGGCTTTTTTTATTTGTCTTTTTATGATTTCTTAGGAGTCTGGACTTGAAGCTGGGAAGGAGGAATCTGGTGGGTCAATTAAAGATCTCGGCCGCCGTGGCATGGTCAGCCTTTTTTTTTTCCTTCCCGTTTTGACTATTGAGATACTTAGAATTAATAGAGGTCATGTGGTTTTGTAATAGTTTATTTTGAGGAGAAACAGTCATTAACTTCTTTTCAGCTGGTTAGTTATTAACCCTTTGGTTTTTGTTTTCGCTGCTTGCTTATTGTTTTCAGAAGCACGTTTTGATACATTATCAAACCATGTATTGTGAGAATTAAAAAATGGACAAAATGTAATTTTTTTGGATAAAAAATGCTTGATTTTACTTTAAAATTGAACAATGATGTTAGAATTGGAATTACATTTTACTTGTTTTTAATCAATTATGGTTCTGTTTTCCAGAAACTGTTTAGGAAATAGAGAGTAAGTAGTAAAAGAAACAAGGAAGCAGAACGTTATTAAAATCACATTAAAGTGCGATATTAGCTCTGCCTTTACATTTAATTTTTAAATTTGCAACCTTCAATGTTATGTAACTTTCTGATGCTTGAAGCTATGTATTTTATGGTTCATTTAAAATGTAATTTGTGTTGGTATTTTGGATTATGTTGATGAATGGACTTTCTGGGTACAGATTGTTGCAAGGAATTTTCAGAATGGTGCTCTAGATGAGAAGGCTGATCTTGATTCCATGGGTCTTAATCTCGGTTTTGATTCAGCTGGTCTTGGCATTTTTGATGCATTCTTCACAAGTTTGTCCATGATACTTATCAGTGAGGTTTGTACATTCAATTTTATTTGTTTGTTACAACTTTACGTTTGACATTGTGAAATGATAATCGTTTTTCACAGATCTTAGTGTGCTTTTCAAGGTAGTTTCGTTTATTGCTAAGAAACGTGTCATCTGCCCAATTTGTTACATACTATTTTGCTTCTTAAATTCATCACGTAGTTTCTATTATTGATTCTGATTAGAGGAAATGCTTAATTGGTGTGCTGTGAATGCAATGATAGATTGGAGATGAGACGTTTATAATAGCAGCTCTAATGGCAATGCGGCACCCAAAATCAATTGTATTATCTGGTGCGCTTACTGCCCTGATTGTTATGACAGTAAGTTGGCTATTTTTTTTTTTGTTTTTATATTTAAAGTCTTTTCTTTGACCTATGAAATGTGTTAGGCCCCTGGTCTTATTTGTTCCTACAGTAGAATGCATTTGCATGGTGTTGTGATGAAATGCTTTTGGCAGAACATATACTTCCCAAGGCATTTTTGCTCATTCTTAATGTTATGAAGGTTTGAATTTTCTTTACTTGTCAATTAGGTACTTTCCACTGGACTAGGTAGGATTGTGCCGAATCTGATATCAAGGAAGCACACCAATAGTGCGGCTACAGGTATATATAACGACTTTCTCTTTTTCATGTACTTTCTTCATGTTTCTATATGATAATTTTTCATATTAGGTTTTGTTGTTCATTTTGTTTTTCGCTAATCACACAGGGATTTCTTTTTCTGACTTCTTTTATGGTCATTCAGTTGTGGATTCTTTGTTGGAGTGTCTTCGTAGTGATTGTGTCATTCCATGAGCATGGTTTTGGATTTGCTAAAACCTATTTGAATTTGGTATTTGGCATATAATTCTCGATTTAAATTCTGGTGTATGCTGGTCAATTCATGTCCTTACATTTTGCCCTTTTATCCTTGGTGCTAGTTTTAGAAGTGAGAATTGCCAATGATTGAGCTTCATGCTGCCAGCGCAATTTGACTGATTTTATTGTTTGGTGCCTTTAGAGTGTAGAAATTAGAAACCTATCTCTTTGATTGGTAAATCCATAAGTTGTAGAAGGGATTATATATTAGTTTCTTTGTCAATAGATGCTACATTTTATACATGCCTTTGGATGGTACACCGAAAGTATAGTTAGAACTAGAATCAGTTATCTCAAGTGTAGAAATATAGACAGTGAAAATTCACTTTCAAATAGTAGAAACTTTGGAAAAGGGTTCCTCGTTAATAGCAAAATAGTTTCTTGGTTGCTTTTGCCGTATGTTATGTTTTTCTATTAAAGTTATCAAATACAAAGTGCAATTTTGCTTTAGAGGCAAAAATGACCTAGGTGCTGTGTTTTTCCCTGATATACAGTTCTCTATGCATTTTTTGGGCTTCGGTTACTTTACATTGCTTGGAGATCAGATTCAAAGGCATCTCAGAAAAAGGAAATTGAAGAAGTATGTCTCTCTGGCTCTCAATTTGAGTTTCACATTTGCTTCTATACATCCATTTTAGCATATTTGGTTACAAGAGATGCTTCTTGCAACATAAAAGAACTGAGACAGATTATATTTTGAGGCAGTTTTAACTGGTTATTCTTGAAAATTTAGTGAGCTGGATGAGGACCCTCCTTTCTCTCTTTTCTACATTGTAAACGGTTGAAAAAGTGCCTTTTCCTTTTCAGGGAAGTGGATAATTTCTTTAAAAGGATCTTGAACTTTTCTAATCCATGTGTAAATGTATGTGGATTCTTGCATATAAATATTCTTTGAATTGCAACCTAGCCGGTATCAAGTAGTTATACTATATTTAAAGAATTGCACCATATAGCATCTGAAGCTCTTTCATATTTTTTCTTTATTGCCAAATTTTCACATCACTTCATACTGAATTTGCTTTTGGTTATCTCACATGTTTAGGTAGAAGAGAAACTTGAGACTGGGCAAGGGAAAACATCTTATCGGCGCATCTTCTCCAGATTTTGTACACCAATATTTTTGGAGGTTTCATTTTGCTTCCTCATTGTCACCCATCTTAATTATATATATGTAGTTGACTTTCACTCATTATTTAAATAATCTATTATCAGTAAGGTATATTTGTTTTTGTTTTTTTCTTTCCTTGCAGTCATTTATTTTAACATTTCTAGCGGAGTGGGGGGATCGAAGTCAGATTGCAACAATTGCTGTAAGATGATTCTACCCTTGACCTTAAGTTATCTCTATGATTCAAATTTGTCTCTTCGTTTGTGATGGTTGGGTTCTTTTACTTGAGAAGAAGTTTGTAAGAAACAACAGCTTACATGTTTTCTTCTCTCAAAATGTAATTCATCCTGTTGCAATAAAAGAATGCATGAATCTCCCTGATCTTAGTCGGTTAGATGAAAAAGTCCTTCTGTTAGCCTAAAACCTAAGGCTGATAGCTTATTAAGAGGAACAGAAAAGACAATTATTTGCAACAGATACTGAAAGGAACCGATAACTCTCATATGAATGATGGTAATATTTATAATCACCACTAAAAATGAGGTTGAAATGATTAAAGATAGATGTTTGAGGGCTGTGGCTGTAATTGCAGCTGTACCATGGCTGGTTTTTGGTATCCCTGAGTGTCCTCCTTAAAACTAATCCAGCCATGTAAAATAGCCTTTTGGCTCTTATCTTATCATTTTCTCGGCAGGTTGGAAGTGGGAGTTATTGTTTGTCTCATGTTTTACATGTTACCACCCTGTATAACATGAATATATTTGTTTTTATGTTTATTTTTGAAACTTTGCTTGAAATTGAGTAAGAATAATTTCACCTAACTGCCTTTTTTGTTCAATGCACCAGCCATAAAGATGAGATTATTGTTGAGTTTGCTTATTTCCCATTCACATATGCATTTGCTCCTTAATAAGGAGATTGGACTTTTTCCCAAGTCTGACATGACTTTTGTAACTGAAGTGTGCTTATATCAATCGTTAAATTTCTTTATGTGTTTGTGTGACACTTATCTGCAACAGTTGAATTTGACCTGGCATCACATTGTTTATTTTCCTTTCATTGACAAATTCGAATTATGATGAATTTGCGTGATTGATATGCAACTGACTTGGGCTTTGTTTATTCAACTATAAAACTGTGGTTGAAAATCTTTCCTTAAGTTAGATCAAATATCAGTTTGAGCTAATAATATTGAGTTGTTAGTTATTGTGGCTGATTGAAACTACAGTTTTGCAACCCAACTACAATGCCAAATTCAGCCTTAGATTTATATGTGTTGGTTTGCCAAAACTCTATGCGTACAGAATTCAATACCAAGTATAACTTCAAATTTTAGAAGTCTTAGTTTTCTAAACAATGGTTTCTGATGCTGCAGCTGGCAACTCATAAAAATGCACTTGGAGTAGCTGTAGGAGCAACATTAGGGCACACCATCTGTACATCATTGGCTGTGGTGGGAGGAAGCATGCTAGCAGCCAAGATTTCGCAACGAACTGTTGCTACAATTGGAGGCTTGCTTTTCCTTGGCTTTTCACTGTCTTCATATTTCTATCCTCCCCTATGATTGTAGGCTAACATGATTCTTTTGGAGCACCAGTGCTTTTCACTTCAATTTTTCCCTTTTGTTTTTCTCTTTGGTTATATGAACACTGAAAAGGGTTATCATGCTAACTGGTCGAACGCGAGATAATTGTGCTTATTCTTTTGTATACGTAACTTAGTTATATATAAGTGCTTTTCTTTGCCTTAGACTTTGCTCTTGCAGATATTGGAAAATGATTTTGAAAGCAAAACGTTATGGTGGCTCATTCTTTATTTTGTTGGTTTAATGCTTTCTCTTCCATTCCGTCATTCACAAAGAGCTGTTACTTAGATCGGCATTCCATTACTTAATATCCCTCGTATGTTCACAAGGAGAAAGAAAAGAGTAAAGGGGCTTCTGAGAGTTTGATTGGTTAAGGGTAAAGGGCAAACCCAATCTTCGCCATGAAAGGAACGAAGCTAAAACTAAATTTGTATGGCTATGTTCATTTGCTGACTTCCAACATCCCCTCTTTGAGCTTCCTTTATCTTTTCTGTTCAACCAGATACCAACAATTACGCCTCCAACAATGCAAACTCTACGACGAGCAGCTGTAATAAAATGTGTTCTAAAATCCCCACCAATCTTCTGTCTCTTAAAGAAAATACCTCGCTCCAATTTTCATCAATGCAAATTCTACCCCCACCAACCATTGGTTTTATCCGCTAATGATTCCCTTCTTCACGCTAAGGCCATAAAAAATGGTTCCTTTCAACACTTAGACGTGGCTAGCCACCTTTTACATCTGTACGGGAAGTCTAAATGTTTAAGCCATGCACGTAAATTGTTTGATGAAATGTCCCAGCGAGATGTACGGACCTGGACAATACTAGTTTCTTCTTTTGCACGTGCTGCTTCTAATGGGATTGTGTTGGATCTTTTCAGGGACATGCAAAATGAGAGTGTTAAACCAAACCAATTCACTTTGTCTAGTGTTTTGAAGTGTTGTTCTAGTTTGAGTGAGCTTAGGATAGGCAAAGGAGTTCACGGTTGGATTTTAAGGAATGGGGTTTTTTTTGATGTTGTTTTGGGGAATTCCCTTCTTGATTTTTATGTCAAATGTGAGGATTTTGGATCTGCCAAATGGTTGTTTGAGTTCATGGAGGAGAGAAATAGTGTGTCTTGGAATATAATGATTGGTGCACATTTGAATGTTGGAGATGTGGATAAGGCTGTTGATATGTTTAGAAGGCTGAGATCTAAGGATGTTGCCAGTTGGAATACAATTATAGATGGTGTAATGCGAAATGGGTCTGAACGAATGGCTTTGGAACTACTGCATGAGATGGTAAAAAATGGAAATGTGCTTGATGAAGTCACTTTTTCTATTTCTTTGGTTTTGGTTTCATCGTTTATGGATATAGAATTAGGGAAACAGATTCATGGCAGGGTGTTGAGATTGGGATTTCATGTTGACGGTTTCATTAGGACTTCACTTATTGATATGTATTGCAAATGTGGGAAAATGGAAATGGCACTGGAAGTTTTCGAGAAAATGGATAGCAATTTTGGGAGGAAAGAAGATTCCATTGAAGAAATTGTTTCTTGGAGTTCAATTGTTTCTGGCTTTGTTCTGAACGGTGAGATTGAAGATGCTTTTAAAACATTTACCTCTATGATTTCTAAAGAAATTGAAGTTGATAGATTTACTGTTACAAGTATTGTTTCTGCTTGTGCTAATTCTGGAGTGTTGGAACTTGGTCGGCAGGTTCATGCCCTTATTCAGAAAATTGGGCATAGAGTAGATGCTCACTTGGGTTCCTCATTAATTGACATGTATAGTAAATGTGGAAGCTTAGATGATGCTCAGATGGTGTTCAAGCAAACTAATGATAAGAATGTTGTGTTGTGGACTTCAATGATATCTAGTTGTGCTTTACATGGGCAAGGGAGGGAGGCTGTCCGGCTATTTGAGTTCATGATGAGTGAGGGAATTAAACCAAATGAGGTAACTTTCATTGGGGTTTTAACTGCATGCAGCCATGCAGGGCTGATTGAAGAAGGTTGTAGATATTTCGGGCTGATGAAAGAAGTTTATGGTATCAAGCCTGGAGTTGACCATTACAGTTGCATGGTTGATTTATATGGGCGAGCTGGTCAGTTAAATGAGACAAAGAATTTTATTCATGAAAATGGTATCGATCACATGAGTGCGGTATGGAGGTCGTTTCTATCTTCTTGTCGACTTCACAGAGATATTAAGATGGCAGAATGGGTTTCTGAAAAGCTACTTCATCTGGAACCTCCTGATGCTGGAACTTATATCTTGCTGTCGAATATCTATGCCACAAAACAAAGATGGGAGGAGGCCGCAGAAGTGAGAAACTTGATGCAAAGCAGAGGGGTTAAAAAGCATCCTGGTCAATCTTGGATCCAGATCAAGAATCAGGTTCACACTTTTGTCATGGGAGATAGATCCCATCCACAAATAGACAGGATTTATGCATATTTGGACAAGCTAATTGGAAGATTGAGGGAAATTGGGTACTCATCTGATACCAAACTTGTGATGCAGGATGTGGAAGAAGAGCAAGGAGAAATGCTACTTGGTTTCCACAGTGAAAAACTTGCCACTGCTTACGGCATCATTAGCATGACATCTCAAAAGCCAATATGGATAATGAAGAACCTTCGAGTTTGCAATGACTGTCATACCTTTATGAAATATACTTCTCAGCTTCTAGATAGGGAAATAATTGTGAGAGATATTCGCCGATTTCATCATTTTAAGAGTGGTTGCTGCTCTTGTGGAGATTACTGGTGATTGAACAGGTCCTTGTCAGTAGTTGTAATTATTTCACTGCTGTAAAGAATCCAGTAGCCTTAACTGGTCAGATTTCCTCAAACAAGCTTCCTGAATGGAAGTTGAAGATTTTGTCAATCCCATGTAGCACAGCCAAGGGGATTAACATGTCATGAATACCCATGTTCAAAACTCTTAGGCTTCTTTTATGATGCTGTATGGATATCCTAAAGTGAACATACAGGTATGTTCTATTTGTCAAAAACTCTTCTTTATCTTTACTCTGTTATCAAATTTATGCATTGATTTAGTTGATTTATTGGAGTTTAAGTACAGCCAACAAAGTTGCATTCACCTAGAAGACATCTGTTAAGGATCTTTACCTCTTTATACCTGTAATGTTTAGCTAAGGTTTTTGTTTTTGTTTTAGATGCAAATTTGCTTTAGTGGTGCTTCTTCGTAGTTGTGTGCAATTGGAATTAGCTTTGAAATAGCACTCATCTGTGACACATATTATGCCTGCAACCTGCAGGTGGTTGCAGGTTTGTAGGATAATATGTATTTCATGACTTCCATTGTTTTCCTGAAAATTAAGAAATATTTTGTGTTTGCTAAAATTTAATGGCCAATGTACCTACAAACTTTACAACATCGTTCTTTTGTCTTCGGTTTCTTCTTCTGAGAGTTGGATCAAGCACTTCATGATTGAGCGGCACTAAATATATACGATTGGGATGTCATTTAGACATGTGCTAATGCACTCATACAATTTACCTTTCCAGCTCTACTGCATTCTATTCTATCCGTATTATCAAATGAGAGTAGTTATCTGATAGATAAATGCTTAACTTATTCTACAAGTTCATCTTAAGGCTGTTCCTATTTGTCTTCATTTTACATTTCTTCCTGACTGCACTTGGGCAACTGATAGAAGCAAGTTGCACTTTACTTCAAGTTTTACCTTCACTTGCTTTTCAGCAAGCCCTTTTTTTTTTTCTTGTGTTTCTGTAAAGCATTTTCTTTGACAAAAATTCTCCTCATTCTGATGTTTATCTGCAGGTGGTGGTTGCACAAATATCTCCCCTTTGCACTAAACCTAATGCTATCTTAACTATTTTTTCATTCATAGATTAATAAGAATGTTATATTTATAATTCATTTATAAATATCGGAATTGTCTTTTACTCCATGTAATATATATTACAACAACAATGTACTAGTCTTAATTCTTTAATATTAATGCACATATTATGTAACATACTGTACATTTTCTTGTGTTAAAGTTCTACCATGTGCTGGTTTACTTCCATTTGATGTGTAATTTTGTTTGGTTTGTCGTTTGGTTGCTTCATTTGATTATAATTGTAAGTTTTAATCCCAAGTTTAAGTCTCATCATATGTGGGTTTATTCTCACTATATATTAATTTTGTTTGATTTATTTGGTTTATTTATTGATTTCTTTGGTGAGTGAATTATGTCGTACATATTGAAAATTATTATGCGAAAAGGACAGCCCAAGTTCTCTATATAACATATAAATATAATTATTATAAAGATTTTTAAAGCAAGAAGAATATCATGGGATTCTGCTGGGTTTCAAACTCAGCAATGAGTAAATGTACTTTACACACAAAAATTGGAAGAACAAGACATATAAATGACAGATTAACAGATCAATCCCTTCTTTGTTTGGTGTTTGATTTGAGGGCAGAATATTGGTCGAGCTTAATTTATAAAGTTATTTGGGCCTAGTTAGGTAGGTGGGTTCAATATCTTCCTATATTTAAATTTGACCATTTCTATTGAACCAATCCACCAACAAAAACCCATATACCAAAATTTAAATAAAATAAAAAAAGAAAAATTCTAGCATTAAACTGCAATTTTTTTTTTGAGTATTTAGGTGTAAAAGTCCAATAAAATTCTCAAAAAATTAATTAATTTTTATTACCCAAAAATTCAATCCTTAATCATTTTATTCTTCTTTAAAATGAAGAAACACCCATTTGGTATCCATCACCAAGAGCTTGGTGTTTTCGACACTAAAGCTCGCTTGTGATGCACTTCTTGAGAGGTAGAGTCCAAATTAAGTAAACAAAAGAGAAAAAATTTCTACAAATAAAAAATTTTGAGGCTGAAAAATTCACAATGGAAAAGAAATACATATTACAAAAATGGTAGCTTCTTGTATAAGAGAGGCAAGTGAGGGTGGAGAAGGAGCCCACTATGGGAGACTTAACACAGTAAAAAGTTTTCTGGGGAAAGTGACAGAAAGTTAGGGATGGGTCCATTTTGGGGTTTGTAGCACCCTAAACATGGAAATTCCACCAACTTTAGCTTAATGCATGTCCAGAAAAGAAAGATGGATACGTTGGGTTAGGCCTGCTTTTAGGCTTAAGATTCAAAACATATTCTGTTAGTATTAATTGATAGACGTCCGAATATACCTATCAGATCAGTTGGTATTTTCAGACATTTCTTTTTCTCTACCAAACTAAACTCGAATGTATCTTGACCTTTTTTATACAATAGAATTATTGTAACTTGATAACAAAGCCATAGCCACCCAATATAACAAAGCAATTACACTTCCATGGGTTGCATTTCCTCAACAACCGATTTACTTTGGGTGTCTCACTTTTCCACTCTCTCACTCACCCTTTTTTGTTTTGTTTTTTCTCTTATTCTATTCCCATCATTAGTTGTTTAATGAAGAAATGAGAGACAGAATGGAAAGATTTGTTATTCTTCCCTTCTCAGTTGGTTGCGTCTCTGAATCAAGTGTGGCTGTAGCTGTGCAGCAGCCTAGAAGATCAAAGCCTGCGGACACCAATCCAACTGCAGCAAGTCTCTTTCTTTGTTTCCTTTTTCTTATTTCTTCTTTCTTAGCATTTGGTTTCTCTTAGTGGAGACTAATTAGGCTTTTGTAGTTGTACTTCTTGTAGAAGCACAACGAGAGGAAGACGAAGAAAGTTTATCGAATGAAAGCATGAAGTATTCATTGAAATTCCTGCCCCTTCCAAAGCCTGACATATCAACTGGGTTTCATAGGCTGTGCAAGAGTTTCAAGACCTTTTCTCAAATATTTGGTAAGTCTAGCCAATATTGTTCTGTGTCACTTGTCATTGCCTTTCTTCTGATGCTAAGACCAAACATGCACGCTAACTATCCTACTCAATTTGATTAATTAGTTATTGCCAGTATTTAATGGATTTAGTAATAAAATTAAGAGCCACTTTCGATAAGTGTTTTACGATTTTGATTAAGTACTAGATAAACTCAAATTTCTACACCATTATTCCGACAAGTTTCAAGGTCTGATGATAAGTTAAGCAACAGCCATGTTCATGCTCGATTGTCATGTATCCCTTTGTGAATATTTTCATCGTGGTTTAACTTTTGAATGACAGTATATTTTCTTGCTCTTAATCACATTCTTATTTTCTCTTTTTTTGGCTATCTGGCTGGTCAGCCTACAAGGAAGACTCGGAGAAAGAAATGGAAATAGGATTCCCAACAGATGTGAAGCATGTGACACACATAGGATTGGATGGCTCTGCATCAAGCAGCCCCAGCATGGGCAGCTGGGAAAATCTTTTATCTCCTCATGAGCTTTTCACTTTCCCCTCTGTTCCTTCCGGACAGTGTGAACTCCCCATGGAAACACAGGCAGCAGCTGCCTCACCTCTTGTTCAAGCCTCTACTTAATTAGACCAAAAAAAAAAAAAAAGCCTGAGAGATCAAGTTTGCTATGCTGGTGAGACTGATTGTCTGCACCAGAATGGATAATAGTGGGTGTTGGTGATGCTAATAGGTATATTTAATTGTCAACAAAAGTTAAAATTGTAATGGGGTTCTCTCCCTTTGTTTGTCTTGTAGTTGTTACAAACGCTTCCATGGTGGGTGTATAAAATTGAAGTGCTAAAATACAATTTCATGGTTTGTAATTATATGGTAATAGAAAATATACTCAGCATTTGGATAAAATACTTTGACTACTTTTAACTTATAAATGTTAATTCCACAATTCCTTCAAATATGGTTTAATCCAAACAAGAATTTATACATAATCATAAAATGATTGACAATCCCAATTTATACATAATCATGAAATGATTGACAATCCCAGGAAGGAAATGGAAATATAACAGTCACACAAGTAAATCAAAGAAAACGTCACTCTTACACAGTCCTAATTATAATCAACTGGGCATCTCAAATCGACAAATTGGACAAAACTTACTCATCCCTAGCCAATGAACAATGCAACGGCCATGGAATAAATGTGAGCAAGGCATCCGTTTGGCTTCAGAACCGATCGAGATATCATCCAAGCAAATTGCACAAGCCATGGGATTTTCAATCACCACCTTCTCCAACCTTCGGATTGCTTCCCTACTCGCAGGCGTTGTCGTAGGCTTATCAATAGGAAATGGCAATTCACCAACCATAACATCAATACTCACACACATCCTCAAAACTTTTCGGTTCTTGTAACAGTCTTTGGTTGACATGCGACCAGCACATTTTGATATTTCAGCGATTATGAAGTCCTCGACCGGTACGTGCATGGAAACAAGCATGTCGCGAATGGCAGAACGAGGATCGCTGCTCATGTAATCGAATTGCACCTCGTGAGTCCTTCGTATAGTTACACTGTCGTAACACTCGATGTCAAGGTCGTCCTCCTCGTCATCGCAATCTTGGTTCGGGTACGTGAAGGAAGCATGAACATCAATGGAGAAAATAGAGCTCTCCAGCAACTCATCTTCAACTCTTGTCTCGTCCACTTCCCATACATGACAATAGTTATCAAAGATATTGCCTGACATAAGGAGGATAGAGAAGAGAATAGGACAGAGAAAACTTGAAGGTGATGGCAAAAGAAAGAGATATTTGAGGTTATCTCTATCATCTTCGTATAAATAGGAGAGTATCCCATTAATATCTCTCCTTCAATTTTTCTTTCTTCTCCTCCAAATTTTATTTCCCATTAAAACAATTCTCCTTCCTAATAAGATTTTTCTTATTAAAGACAAAATTATTTATTTTTAGAAAAAAACCGAATTCGAATCCAACTTTTTCAATTCAAGATGAAAAAATACGGAATTTGGATCTAACTCTTTCAATTCAGGATGCATATTGAATTTTTTTTATATAAAAACAAAAACGCATGATAACATATAATATTATTAAAGCTTAAAAGCAAAAAGAAAATTAATTGATATATGTTGGCCCAAACTTGTTCAGGAAATTTCATGATAATTAAGAAAAACAATATGTAACGTCCCCTAGTCACCTAATAGACTATGGCATCAATTTACCTCAATTTAAGGCTAATATATAGGGTTTGTATTTGAATAGATTGCTCTGTATCAGTAAGTTAAGTGAAATTATTTTGACAATTTTTTAATATAAACAATACTGTATATCTCCTTGATTTTCTCATATTAAGTACTGACAAAATCTTAAAACCTATGTTGGTACACTACCAAAATTAATTAGTAAAAAGTTTAATAATTAAGACAGCAAAAAATACAAAAGGATTATCAGCCAAAATTAAACAAATGGTAAGAATTCAATTATCAGCCAAAATTAAAGTAAATTTATTGTAAAAATAAATAACAAAAATTTAAAAATTGAACAGCATATATAGAGAAGACCAAGGAATTCTTATACAATGGTGCAAACAAAATTATATATACGATCAAAAAAATTTATCTAGAGTCAAATGAGAATAATAATTAATAAATGATCATTGTGTTAGCTTTATAAACATGCTCGTGAAATTAAAAAATTTCATTGTCAGACTTGTAGTTTAATAATCTATAAAATAAAATGTGCCCTAACATAATTCCTCTCTTATATCTTAATCTTACTAATTAGTTAATACTTTATTTGGTTGATTTTATTTATTTTATAAAATTAAAAATTAATAATAAAAATATCAAAACCTAATTAGCTAAAAAAATTATGTTTGGGAAATGCATATTACAAAGAATAACCATATTTGGTTGTAATATCCGAACATTTGACTTATTAGTTGATGTATGTTTTCTTACTTAAAAGAGTAAAGTTCGAATTTTTTTCCTCTTAATATAATAAAAAGTAAAAAAAAAAAACCACACTTCATTGTAATAAATTAATTTTTGGCTGGCTCTTCTCCCACGTATGGTTGAAAAGTCATATGATCATTAGGAACGTTGCACGGGTGCTACATGCAAATTAATCAATAAGATTATAAAATTAGTTAAGGATTGATTTGTTTAACTCTTTTTCTTTAGTAAGATTATATTTACAAGTAAATTTTATAATTATAATTAAACTGTCTTCAATGTGTATATCATAAACGACCTTCAAATTAGTAAACTAGCAGGAAGAATCGACACTATACATCGTAATAGACCAAAGCTGTAAGCAAAAGATATAACAAGTGTTATATCAAGTCTGAATTGTTGCAATGTAAACATCTACTTGAAACGTAAAATATCAAATGTACATACATTGATTTTCAGAAGAGAATTGAAAAGGAGAAAAAACTCTTTACTTGAAGAAGTAAGGAAGGTTTAGGATGTAAAGGAGGAAGTAGGCCCACGTGACACCAGAAATTCCTCCAAAGAAGAATCCTCCAGTGAAACTAGCCCATCCATCTGCTGTTTGCAGCTGGTCTGGCTCCTTCTTCCTCCCAGTCAAGGTTAAAGAAGGTGCGGTGGATGGCTCTCCTTCCTTAAACGATGCAACGCCATACATTGTCAAGCAAATGGTTACTATAACCACAAGACCGGCAGCTGCCAGGCTTCCTGCTCCCCCAGCGACGGGGGTGTTCCTCCAAGGTCCACCCTTAACAAATGGTCCTACAAGGAGGAATCCATGGGCCAGACATACCTCAATTCCCCTCAGAAGTGGGCTCACTGCTGTCCTGTAAGCTGGGAGGTTGGAGAGGTACCAAGCGATCAATGGGCTTGAAGTGATTGGGGTTTCTAGGCTCCCAATAAATGGGTCACCATTGATGGGCTGAATCACTTGGAAAGTTGGCTGCAAAAACCTGACCAAGCCACATTTAGTCTTAAGCTTTCTTCCCATAAGCAAACAAATTTAATAAAATATAGTCGAAGGGCCTTCCAAGTGGACAATATTGCTTGTGACAAAGAAACCGTTGTCTCTAAACTATCATGCCACATCTCTTCCCATCCACATTTTCGAAATCTCGGGAAAATCTTATGGGCGAGTCAATTTACTTGTTGAGCACTTAAGCATGGTGCATGCCTTCTCAGCCAATTGGTTCATATGACATGGTATAAGTCATAGTCAATAAACTTGAGCATTGACCTTACTTTTCATTAGAGACAAGCATCTTTTTTTCAAGAAATAATAAAAAGAAGAAGATGAAAATTTTGAGGTCAAAATCCTCCTCCATTAAAGGTATATGCTTTGTACTGAGAAAGAGAGTGGGTGAGTGGTGTGTGGGGTTAGTGAAGTGAAATAGAAAAAAGATTAAGTTGCCTTGGGGCCTTTACGTATTCAATGGCCACCCACATGCTTAATGCTTGTACACCTAGCTTGACTTCTTACTTTCCAGCACATTTTGCCCAAAGAAATGGAATTCGGAGGCCGCCAAATTGCCCATCTGTCTAGCATCTTGGTTTTGAATAAACTGCTCTTGCTTATTGTTATCATTACCCTTTACTGATCTTGTCTCTCAGTTGGTCAAATGACTGCAAAGACTGCATAATCATTTTTCCACTGTCCCTTTTATATAAGGGTTATTGCTTTATTATTGGTTAACCTGGTTTCAAAAATGATACACTTCGAATTCGTTATGAATATGACATCGACTTCATGGAATTCGAAGGGACTCCTAAGGTTCTGGGTAAGGCCAACCAAAGCTTCTCTTTTGTTTTTTCAATGGTTAAGACAACTCATGCCTTGAAATTTTTAGATTATATATATGTCCAATTATATGGGCACCATGTGTAAGTCAATTTATTCTAATTATTAAGTAAAATCCCAACAAAAAAGATAAAAAACAAAATTGCATTATTGTTACTTTGAAAGTGGCTAGACATAGCGGAAAGAGTCGTCTGAAATCAAATGGGATAACTTGAGCATTGCAAAGTCTAAGGGGAATTATCCATTATGGATGGGAGACCATACTTGACTATTTCCCATTATCTTGTGGTCCATATTTGTTCTTTAAACCTAAGAGGGTTAAAATTTCCCATTAGTATACTGTACTATTCCTAAATTTCAAAATTCAAATAACTTTTCAAAACACACACACACATACACATATAATATATATATATTCAAATTCCTAAATAGGTTAACATTCACACAACTTTTCAGATTGGACGGCTCTGATGGTGAAGGAAGATTGCCTCGTAGAAGGCCAGACTCTAAGGGGGGAGGCAAAGAGACCCTTGGGTGAGACCAATGCACTTGAAATAGGTGAAGTGAAGCTTGACTTTAGATGGCTAGCGATGGAGGAAGCAGCTGCCATGGCTTTGCTTTCAAACAAGGTAAAAAGATTGGTAGCAACAATGGAAGGAGGGAAGAGGCGATATAAGGTTTTTGAGAGGCTAAGTGCAGTCCATGAATGAGATGGTGTTTAATGGCTATGTGGCCTGTGGCTCTTGATGCACAGTCTTTTCTTTGGACCAAATGCTACCAACATCTTGTCTCTTATCCAAGCTTTTGTTTGCTTTGTGTATTCACAATTTATCTCCTGTTATTGCAACATTGATAATCAGTTCTCATTGCTTATCAAAAACTGAAAAAATTAGTTCTTGATTTGTTTTTCGATTGGATTATAATTCTCCTCAAAGGCCAAGGGTGTACATTGCATAAAAATTTTGAAAGATTGACCAATAGTTGATTACACAAAATGTACTTGGTCAATTTAATTCAATTGATTTGATAAATTATAAATTTTACGTTATGTAAAACTTGTAAAATAACACTCAAAGTCACATATGGCTGTCTAAATTTTTAAAAAGGTATCAAGTTAACATGATACCAATTCAACTACCACCATTATATTAGTTTGATTAAATGAATAATTTAAGGTATAGCATCTTTATGGGTTATTACATAATATCATTGGTGTATGTTTGCCTAGCCTAGATTAGGTCACTAGTAGGGCTCACACCCTCTGTCAGAGAATGTCTCATCTGTAACAAAAAATTTTGTCTACCATACCCCAAAATTGGTCACTAAATAATAATAATAAAAAAAGAAATTTCCCTCACAAATTAACACCCTACTCCCTTGAAACCGAAAGAAAGGCCTCGTTTTTGGATGTCTAGTTTGTTGGAATAATTACTTTAATTTCTAACTTATTAACTAACTTAGTAATACAACAACCAATGCTTGACCCTATTTGCCTTAGCAATGTAACATCCCTCCGCCCCAAACATCCTCATTTGTACTGAAAACACAAACCCTAACTTATTAATATGTTTAACTAAACAAGTGAAAAGAGTTCTTTTTTTTTTTCCTAATATGTTTTAAATACAAAACATCATCATTGGGAAGGACAAGATTACTTGTTTCCCAAATTAACTTTATTATTAGAATAAGGTAATTTGTCCAACTTAATTCCACGTCGACATGCATGATTAGTAATTATTGCCAAGCCAAGGAACGAAGGGAAGGTGTCCTGAGGAAGGCTAAGACTAGGGTCGGTGTCTGATTAATTATTTGGTATTGTTTTTATAATTTTGTGTCACATTTTTTAATTTTATAGTATTAATAAAAAATTTTAATTCCTAAAACCTAAACCCTAACTCTAAATCTTAATAACAAAAATAAATAACCTAATAGCAAGTATCATGTTAATATTAAAAACAAGTAGCACAAAATTTCAAGAAAATACTAAAAAGAAACATCAAATGAAGTAAAAAAAGGAAAAATTGTTCCCAAGGAGGCATGACATCATCTCTCTTTGTAAACAAAGTTTACATTTCCTCCCAAATAGAGAGAAAATTTTCCTTCTCATGTGAAGGGTAGGTAATCATCAGTCAAGAAATAAAAATGCACAAGGAGACTTTCCTTTTGTTCTTACTAGCAATTAATTTCTTTTTTTTTTCTTAATAACTTTTCAGTCTTGCTTGATAGCTCCACGGATGAATATCACATAAAGGCGTGGGCGGCTGGGAAAAGAGAAAACGAATGAAGCAGAAAACAAAGAGATAAGTGAGAAGTCAAGGGCTCATCATGTGGCATCTGATATATAGGCTTACCCCATCTTGGGAAATAATAAAAATATTTTAGTGCCTTATAAGGTCAAAGAATTCAGTCTCCTACCAAATGTGAATAGAGAAGTATTGAGTTTGATTACTTCCACAACCATGAAGGCAAATAATCCCATCAAAAGAGGAAGACAATATGTAATATATACATAAAATAAGGTTAATTGAGATTGAGTTACTGTTGGTAGTTTATATTATTAATTAGTTATGCAATTTTAAAAAGTTATTATATATTGGATATCGAAGAACTTATTTTTTTAATATTATTTAGGCTCAAAACAACTATTCTACCTATTTCGTTTGTAGATTTAGCCAAATAATATATGTCAATAAGGCAATGAAAAAAGTCACCATTGAATGTCTAGAGTTTTTATTTTTTTTTTTGGTAAATAAATGTCTAGAGTTATAAAATAAATTGCTAAAGATCGGTTGATTATTTCAAAATATTAAACTGTTACAAGAGCTGACCTAACATTTCTATTTAAATTTGAGTGTTGCACAGTCTTATGTACAAGCGAAGATGAATAAATACCTTTGTATAACGTAGCCTTTTAAGTGTTGAATAACTATAGGCTTGAGAAAACTTTAAAGGACGTTGGATATAACACAATCACAAAAACAGTGAAAGTGAAAAAAATTAATTTGAAGGGAAATAATAGATTAACGTCTTTACGTTAATATATTAATGAGTATATATCAAGTTTAGGAAATTATAAGTCTTTAAATATAATATTAATTATTTTTACTTATTATTAATTAATTTTAAATTAAATTATGGTAACAAATTGTACCATAATAAAATATTTATTTACAATATATATATTGATAATAAGTGCATATCATTTCTTGCACCAATTGATTGATCATTCACTTTTGATATTGCTGATAGAGAAGATGCTATGTTGGTGCAAATGGGATTTAGTTGAAATTCAATAAAAAAAAATGACTTCAAAACGTATATTTAATAAATGTTATTTAAATATAAAATGATGACTTTTCTCTAAAAAGTCATTAGTTGATCTAAATTAATGGGTGAAGATTAGAGGTTTTTATGCAACTATACTCTAACTTTAAGCGCCAACCTTTGAGAACAAAAAGTAGGATGAATTTCTTCCTTCTTTTGTTTTGGCGTCATCCTTTAAGATTTATTTCAGCCACACCATTCAATATGCAAAAAGAAATTATGTAAATAGCTTAGGCATACAATAAAATCAAATTCTAACTGTCTTACATTTTCAAAAGTAGACCCTTAGACACAATCAAGAATTGAAAACTTGTATGGCCTTAGAATCTACTTTTTGCAATAAGTAGATTATAAGGAATTTAGATAGGATCTCAAGTGTTTATATTTATTTTCTGAATTTTTATTCAAAACATAACAGTTCTCTTATTGTTGATTTTTTATTCTTATCTTGTTTGTTTGGTGTGTGAAAAAGGTTGATAGGAAATACTTTATATAGAGTTCTTAGTGTCTCTTTTTAAGGATACAACCTTTTCATCAAGGTACTTGTAAGTCTTAAATACGCATATACATATTGTAAGATATAATTTTTAAATAAAGGTATTGTTCCAACAATTATTTATGAAAAAATAACTTTTCATTCTCTAAAACATAATCTCGATTTATAAAATGTGAAAAATAAAATGACTCAAAAGAATGGAGTCAGAAAAATCCTACTCTTCATTAACAAGATAAAGACATACACACACACACATGGCTTGCTTGGAGTACAAATAAAGTAAATAATATAAAAGAAAGTTTTCTAATCTTCTACTTCCTTGGAGTGCAAACAAAGAAAAAGATTAATAAAGAAAGACTATATAAAAGAATAAACCTCATAAATTGGAGATGAGACAAAGTTAGAACCAATTAGGTTAGACGAGGAGGCTATTGTGGCTAATGAATCAGATCTAATTGACTCTAACATAGCACTGGCAGGTGAAAAGGACTCATGCAGATTGGTGAATGAGGTGGACCTAGTTGGAGTAGACTCATGTGTAATAGCTTGTGACATGGGTTTGTCTATTGCAAGCCTATGGTTATGAAATGTAGGTTCAATTGTGGTTGTAGTTAGGTTGATGCTTGTAGATGACTCATTAAGCCTAAGTTCAGTGGCATTGGGCACTACATGGTTGGATGGATTATCCAATTTAGTAGTCCAACCCAAATCAATTGACCATACAGATGTTATTGCCGACGAATCTGCAAATGAAAAAAATGTCTTCTAAAAATTGAACATCCCGCGAAATATAAATCTTCTTACTTTCAAGGTCATAAATTCTATATCCTTTTTACCCACTAGAATACCCAGCAAAATCACTTGGTTTAGCATGTGGAGGAAACTTGTCACATGGCTTGCTAATTATATGCCCATAACAAAGACATCCAAAGCTTATCAAATAATCATGTGTGGGACTTATTCTAAGTAAAACCTCATATGGAATTTTATTTTGTAAAATAGTGAGTGGCATGCAGTTGATCAACTATGCAGTAATAAGAACCCATTCACCCCAAAACGAAATAAGAAGATGAGTTTGAAATCTTAATGCTCATGCAACTTTTAAAAGATGCTTATGCTTTCACTCAAGAACTCCATTTTGTTGCGGTGCATCTGTAGAGTTAAATTGGCATTCCATGCCATGATCAATAATGAGTCATTAAATGATGTGAGTAAATTCTAAGCCATTATTTATTTGTAGAATTTTAACTCGCAAGTTAAATTGTGTGTAAACCTAATTAAAAAATTATGATAGATACGTACTGGTTTCTAACTTGTATTTCATAAGGAAAACCCATGTTGCTTGATTGAAATCATCCATTATAATTAGAAAATAGTGAGATCCAAAAAATGATTTTGTTTTGTATGGGCCTCAAATATCACAGTGTCTTAAGTCAAAGGCATGCATAGTCTTATATGTACTTATGGGAAAAGATAATCACATTTGTTTTGCCTTACAACAAACATCACAAAATAAAGTCTTATAGCAATCAAAAGAAATAGATAAATTAGGAACAAAAGGAATGCGATTTACTAGTAGATGCCCCAAGTGTCGATGCCATAAACTTGCATTAACCGAATTGCTAGCTATCAATGCCCTCTCCCCTCTTATCGGCACCAAGTAATAAAGAACATTTCGTTCTCTACCCACTCCAATCGGCTTCCTAAATGGTAAGTCCTGAATCACAAAAAAAATCCAACCAAAAGGTTATCGTACAATGTAAATCATGTGTCAATTTACTAATAGACAA